CACTGAACGACTGTTACATTTCTTGGGCAACGAAATCAAAAGTATCCTCGGCACTGTCGAAATTCGTTCGAAAAGTAAAAGTTTTTTCTTTCTTTTTTTTTTTTTTTTCGTCCGTATTTTACTTTTTCGAAATGTACAAAAAATGTATGAGAAAAAAAAAAAGGTGTTTGGCTTTACCTTGACCCAAATAACTAGCAATACATATTCAATGTCAACACATCAGGACCAGGATTTCGTTGCGCAACCCAAGCTTCTCTCTCTCTCTCTCTCTCTCTTACATACAGCGTTTTCCCCATCGACACGAACCATTTCGAGCCTCATATAAATTCAAATAAACCTCAAGGCTTGCACGAGCATTACATCCGTCGACCCTCCGCAATTAGTTTCATAATGCTCTTCGGCAATCGAAGGCTTGGACTATCACTCGGGCTGACTTTCAACGACCTTCGAAGCCTCCCAGCGAGCCCCCGCCGCATAATACGCCCATCAAATCGCCGAGAGCCTCTCTTCAATGACACTCGAACGTCACCAGCAGTTGATTCGATTTAACGAATAAATTGCCACCATCGGCTCGAGTGCCATGTACATATATTATATCGGTGGCGGAACAAAAGAGACACCCACTCGCTATCTCCCTTCTTCGTCCATCACAACAGTATACACAGATATCCACAAAGCAAACTCGTGTGTTGTACAAATGGATTTCAGAGGAGGGAGGGAGGTAGCGCGCGCGCAAGTTCTCGACCTTGAACTTGCAAGCTCGGCTTTCCCGCCCTTTGCGCTTCCGGGAAACTGAGGGGTGGGGTGTAAGGGTCGTTCCGTATACATGTGTACGTGTGTATTAGTGCCGCTATGACGCTCGAAACGGAGGAAAATATTTTGGCTCGTGTATCACGGGAGATAACGACATTGTCACGGAGAAGCTATTGTGCAGCTCCTTCGTTTGCTTTTGACATACGTACATATGTTACATATACTCTATGCGTATAGCTCGTTGCTACGGGAAGAGATCGAGATGATTTTGCTCAAATTAAAAGGACATATTATATGGCGGCTTTTGTTGTTTTTTTTCATTTGTAATGACTACAACGTGCGTGAGGAATTCCGTTAAATCGGGATAAAAATATGTTTGGTTTGAATTGTCGTTGAAATAGATTGATGATGAAAGCGACCCTTTCGGCCTGCGCTCCTTTTTCCCTGACATTATTTTGGCAAACGGTATGTCCATGTAAGAGCACGTCAATGACTATCATCGTCCGAAGTAAGCGCGTGTCCAAAAAATGTAGCTTCGAAATCGTCTGATCGGCATCGAGGTCATCGCGTCGTATACCGTTCAAGCCTTTGTTTATTACGTATGTCCGTAGGTCACAACCTTCCATGTTGTGTCAAAGACGCCGAGGGAGTGACCTGCAAAAGTCACCGGCTACGTCGCCTTTTCAACGCTCTTGAGCTCGTTTGTAACTCCAAGTTTTCTCCCACGATCATTTAACGTGTACACGTGACTCTTTTTTCATTTTCAGGCGCAGCCCGAGTATGATTGTTTTCTGTCGGATTGATAAAATGGGTAGACAATTTGCAAAAAAAAAATTCGCTCTGTCATTTGTTTTTGTCCCCGCGTCTAAGGTTCATTTTCAATGGCACAACTGCGACGAAGAAGCGACATCGTAGTGGTTGGTAAAAAAAGGCAATTAATTACGCATCGTCGTTTCATCAACGTAAAAGCCAACCGTGTGTGCCCTTGATACTACCGCTGCGTCCCTATATTTCCGTTTGTCAGTAAAACCATCTCATTACTCCGCTCCGTGCAATGGCTGGGTAATTAATTGGAAAAAACCATTTCAAAAAGTGATCGATAGTGATTTGATAGTAAAAATAAAACGAAATAATTTTAAAATACATCAGCAGGGAAAAGAAATATAGTAGTGTGGTAGCTCTTTGGCCTCGGAAACACGAAACAAGTACAGAAAACTCGAAAGAGGGAGCGAGTTTTGACCTCGAGGTCGTGCAGCGATACATGTACGCCCGTGACCGGAAAAGGCCTTGGCCGTGACTCGTGCGAGGGACGCGCGTTCAGGGGTACATCCGCGAAAGGGTAGCTCGACTTCATATCCCTTCCTCTCTCGCTTTTGCTCGTATATGTATAACGCATCAGCTGCACTTACGCGTTTACACTTGCTCGGTGCTATGAAGTAGAGAGCTTTGCGGATTTTAATTCCTGAAAATGGTGTTTATTACAATTTTATTTTAAGAATAAACTCATTAACTAGGGATGATAATTGCAAAATTGCCCAATCCACCAACTAACGATTTTTGTTGCGATTCTTACCTTTTAAGATGTCGTCTTAGAGGATAAATTTTAAAATAGACCAAACGAACGAATATATTATGAAGAAAATGGTCAATAGTGACTCAATTAGATATTAAGGTCTCAAGTGCTTCGACCCTGACCTTGACCTGGTCGACCAATAACATCCGGGAGTCCACGAAACAGTCGTTACATCTAACTTTTCAAACTAACAACCGATCGATTATTATACAAACGATTCTATTCGGTAGATAAATATCGTTAAATAACCGATACGAACGAAAGGCGTGAGCTTTTTGATACCAAAATTATCTATATCACAGAATTTTAATTCGTATTCGTACATTCTCTCGATATGCGCAAGCTCTCATTGTACAAAGCACTCGTTCGGAATTCCCCTCATACCGATCAAAAAAAGACTGGCACACTCTGTTTTGCGTATCCGGTGTCGCTCGCCAAAATTTTGTCAAATACGAAACAAAGTCCAATCTTCCCGGTTCCCCCGCGACGCGTATTTTTTAATTATAATTTCGATCGTTAATTTCTGCCGATTCGACGAAGGCCATCGCGAGCCAGCGCTTGCCACCCGCTGCACGACAAGTAACTGGACACGTGAAAAATTAACCCACAGCCGTTTTTAACGCGAACAAAAAGCTCATCATCAATGTGTTTTACAAAGTGTCGTCGTCGTCGTCTTGTAACGATCGCGATAATTTATACTTTAACGGTCCTCGACGCTTTGACCGAACGACACACGTCTCATAGAACAGCTTTAACAACATGCATACAAGTATATACCGGGGAGCCAGTGGCGTCTGGCGCGATGTAGTCGCAGAGGAATTGGTCACTCGGTTGGCTTTTGGCGAACTTTCCGAGTGACTTATTTGTACTTGCATTGCTTTTGTATTTTTATATCCTAAGGTTGAAATCATAAATAAAGGCGTTAGACGTATACGGTAAGTGAACGAGGAGAATGTGTAACGCGGATGTATCGCCCATATTATACTTTCACGCGGCTTTCCCCGCGAGTATCGTCAAGTCGATGGGGCTAAACGGAAAAGGGGGCCAATTAGGTTGCGCAATGGTCGTTTCTCACTCCACGCGGTGTTATGCCGTAAGAGTGACTTAACAGTACACAATTGAAACCAAAAACGAATGGAACGATCGTTTCGGTGGTTCTTTCAAAAATCGGGGTATTGACAAACGTGTACTACCAACGCTTTCATTTTTAGGCGAAATAATTTTAAAATATAATTCGAAAGAGCAGTATACCGATCTCAAATTGTGCAGAAAAGTTGAGGACGATCTTTTTACGGCTCGAATGATCCCTTGGCTGTCACGCCGCGAAAACTGCGAGCACTAAAATAGTATAACGAGTCTGGCCAACGGTGTACAATGTTGGCGATACACCGATGCTCGAACAAGGGAGAAAAAAAAAACAAACTTGCGTTTTGTCGTTCAATAGACGCGTCTGGCGAGATTTCCCACGACGCTGCTATTATACTGGTTGTACAACATTAGTGACGATCTGCCCGCACGCGAGAGACGAGTGTGGCATTAATTTTCGCGCTTTGGCGCTGATCGCGCGCGAGATTTGTTTATTTGATCGCTGCCAATCTATTTTACATGATATCACGCCGTTTGTATCCATATACACGAAAACTTCAAATGCTATTCGTTGCAGATGGGTTGGGATAACGTTTCAGGCGAATGCTGCATCTGCTTACGAAACACATAATTTTATTCGTCTTGTCTCTAATTGGGAAATACGTTAAATTGCTTAACATTGCCGAAAACTGTCGAAAAGATTACCATCAGCCTGTGCTTGCAAGCTCGACACCCTACTTTTACTTTTTTGTGTTGAAAACACCAAGCCAGCGATATAACGCGATCGTGGAAGGAGATAGGTATTATCAGAGAATAACCGCGTATACACCTGTTGCAGATGTTGTGTAGGTATATACCACGCACACAAAGAGAGCAACAAATTGCGAGCCCGGCGGGCTAACGTCACACACTACAGCAGCTGAAGCTCTGTATATCTCTGATGCAATTGCACCGGAACGGCTCGCGGTCAAGGTCAAGGTTGTGTCCGCCACTGTCATTGCCATTGCCACTGACGCGCTCTCGAATGCCGCCGGCAGTGCAGGAGGAGCAGAGAGTCACGAATAAACAACGCGTGAAATTTATCTTGCTCTCCTCCCCCTCTTTGTTTCTTTCTTTTTCCTTTCAGATGCTAATGTACGAGAGGGAGTGAGCGATTTTTTTGGCACCAACACGAGGAACGAGACAGCTCGAGAGCTACGCAATACTTACGCGAGAGAGTAAAGCGTTGACGATGACGAGCTCTCGCGCCGTGAGAACGCTGCCAAAAACTGGGCATTGCTAGCGTTTTGATTGTTTATTCGATGGCTGGCGAATTTTTGGCGCCCTTTCCTACTCTCCTTCCCTCTCTATTTTCTCGTACTTGTCGCGCATTTTTGCTTTCTTTCGGTTCATTTAAAATGTAACAAATGTTTCCATTGTAGTGTTTTTATACTTTACCTCTTATTTTTTTCAAAGAGAAGTGATGCTTTGTTTCAAGTCTAAACTTAATGGGTACAAGATGCGCGCAATGAGGAATTCGATTACATAAGTTTATAAAGTAATTTCATTTGTTTATTCAACAAATTTTCAGTAGAACGATCTGAAACGAATTAAATTATATACACCTTTGTTTCGTTGCGAAACAACACGTCAATAACTCTCTTGTCGACAAAATCTGTAAAGGTTACAGTGCTTATCTAGCTTTCTTGCCCTTGGGTTTTGCTTTGCCTCCAGGAGGCTTGCTACTACGGCCTTTCTTGCCGCGGTTCTTTGTCTTTTCTTTAGCCTTTCTCGCGCGCAAATCTTTCTTCATCCTCGGATCGACAACCTTGTACCGTCCTTTGACACCTGCTGGCCTGGCCATACGCTTACCAGCTAAGCTCTTCTTTGCTACAACGTATTTTACGTCTTTCTTAGGTTCCTTTGTTGCGTTTTTGTAGAGGCTGTACAACAAACATTATTGTATTTATTTTCAGTTGCTCAAGTGTTTGATAATTATTTAAAAATTACAATAAAAATATACTTACGATTTGATCTGTTGAGCTTTCTCTCTGCCACTGAGGTCTGCGTTATCTATAACAGCCTCCACCTTTTTCTTCGTTTTGGCGAGCTTGCGGAGTGCTCGCTTTTTGTGCCTTGCTTTGGCCTCCATTACCTTTTTGATAGGCCTGGAAGTAATGTCTTCCACTCGCTTCTTGTAATCATCCACGTATTCTTTTGGTACTGGTACGTTCTTTTTCATGTGCTGTTTTTCATCTTCGATGAACCAGCTAGGTAAATTGTCGTCATTAAATGCGTACCTGTTCCAACCTCCATCAATTATGTCTCTGCGAGCTTTTTTGCTGTTTGCTATCATTGTGCCCAGAGCTAAATCTTCTTCTGTTAATTTTCTCTTTTTAATTTTTTCTGTGGAGAAAAAGCAAAAAATTTTATAAAGATAGATTTCATCAGCTATAATACAGAAATTTTAATAAAAAATAAACTCACTCTTGTTTTCCACAACAACTTCAAAGCCATCCTTTCCACCAACTTTTTCAACAACTTTTTTTGTCACAGCCTCTGGAGTCATGAATTCATTCATGTCGTAGTCCGAATCATTATCAGAATCAGTATTGCACTCTGAATCTGAATGAATTTCTATTTCATCCCTTTTCTTACTAGTAACCTCTTTTTTCTCTTCTTCTCCATTTTCTTCCTCACCGTTTTTTCCAATCACTTTAATTCCTTGCTTCTTATACATTTTAATCATTTGATCTATGTCGAAATCTTCATCCATTTCATTGTCTATATCTTTAAATATATCTTTATCAAACCACAACGCCGCTCTTAATTCTTTCTTTGTTTTTTTGTCTGTACTATCCAACTCTGTGATAAGAGGATTTTGCTCCTCCTCTTCCTCATCATCGTCAATCTTCTCGTCCATAGCAAACCTAACTTTCTTTGGAAGCTTGTCAAGTGATTCATCATTTTCAGAGTCACTAAGACCCAAGTCTGATTTCACAGATTTGTCATCATCAGACTCATCTTCAGAAAATTCTAACTCACTCTCATCATCTTTGTAAAACAAGCCTGAGCTGTCCAAATGACTGACATCCTTCTCATATCTTACTATTTTAGGTTTTTCCACATCATCTTCTTCGTCACTTTCAGCAAGAACATCTGGACTCTGATCAGTGACTTTTTTGAGTTGATCACGTGATTTTATCTGTTTTAGAGAAAACATATCGAGATCTTCTTCTCTTGGACCTTCATCCCCTTTAATGACCATGTTCATGTTCATTTTCTGCTGTAATTTAGATTTTTGTTTATTTTCCTTTTTCTTCTTTCTCTTCAAGTCCCTGTCTTCCTCCTTTTTCAGTTTTTGAATTTCTTCTCTTATTGTTTCATCCTCCATGTCCTCCAACTCTTCTATTGTGAGGTCTTTTTTTGTCTCATCTGGTTCAGCTTCTACTGTTGGCTTCTCTGGTTCTTTTTCACCAAATAATTTTTTCATACTTTTCTGCCAATTTATCAACAAACGGAAATCCTTTTTACCCAAGACTTTAATGTCTTTACAGCACTCTTTGATTTCACGAGTCGTTTCATTATGATTCAAAATTTGCTCATCATCTATCACAATTTCTGAGGCATGCTCCAATATCGCTATACCCTTATTTTCGGCGTTAATAAAATCTTTGACAGACACTTTGTGATATAAGGTATAATCATTTTCTGGATAGCCTTCTGCCTTTGCCTTTTTCTGTTTGTCAGGATTGAAAATATTGACTTTATGCTTAGGCTCCAAATCAAGTTCGGCAAATACATGCTTTGGGTCCAATAACTTTGGATCAGGCTTAGCTGGTGCAAGGTAGCCTTGGCAGACCACAAAAATCTCAGCAGATTCGTCACGGGAAGCTTGGGGTTTGGTAGCATGAACCTGATTTTAAAAAACAATTGCTTATAGCCATCTGATTCATTAAAAAATGTCTGTAAAGAGAATTCGAACTAACCTTTTTGAATAGCTCCTTCATCACGTGAAGCAATGCCATATAATCCTTGGATCTGAAAACCTTGGTGATAAACCATCCTCCCTTTCTTAAAAATTGCGTGGCCAATTTAAGAGCAGAAAGAGTCAGGGTGGACTGCTGGAAAGCATCATGCAACCAGTTCTGTCCAACGTTAGGTGCACCATCGTTCAACACCAAGTCAGCTTTCCAGGTTTTCAGCTCCCTACTGAGATCCGTTCGACACTTGTCTGTCCTGATGTCGCCTATGACGCTGAGGCAACCAGGTACAGGCTTGATGGGGTACAAGTCCACGCCAATGACGATAGACGACGCGGGCATGTTCTCGTGCGCTACCTGCATCCAACCTCCTGGGGCTGCACAAAGATCGATGCATACTCGCGATTTTTGAAGAAACTCAAATTTACGATTCAGCTGGATCAATTTGAAGGCAGCACGAGATCTGTAGCCTGGAAATTAATTTTTGATATGTGACGTTTGATTGGTGAAGATGTACTAACGTTAGGTAATATATTGTAAGTAAGAAAGTAAACATTGTCATTCAGTTCTCGTACCTGTTTCTTTGGCCAACTTATAAAAGCGATCTTTGCGCTGTTTTCCAATTTTGGCCTTTTTACCCATTTTTGTGTCACTTCTTTTCTCACTCTCCGAATATTAAATTAAATAACACGACTCAATATTTTTTCACGCATGCCTTTTCGCTGACAATTAATTATAACACACTGCGACTAACACGTGTCGAAGAAGTCGATCACCCGAGCAGGAGGTTATGTTTGGCACTGTGTTTTTTTCGGAGCTTTGAGAGACACACGCGCATCAGTAGCTATAGTGATTTTTATCTAGGGTGTTTTTGTTCTGAAAAAGTATCCCTAGTCCCTAGCTGACTGAAAAAGTGTATATTTTTTCAAATCGTGTTCAAGCAATGATAATCGTAAAAGCGACTATTGAGGCAATAAGTAACGATGGCATTTGGATCGGTACCTAATTATTTACTCCTCGTCATATTCTAATGCAAATGGAATCAAACACTGGCACAGCTGTTTCCAGAAATACTCAAGTTTTTTTTTCTATCAACTGTACTTATATTATGTGCCGTACTCGCAGTTTTCAATGGCGTCCTCATTCCTTTCCCATCATCCTCAATAATTAACGATCGTCTTTCCCCCCCCCCCAAAAATCCTCATCAACAAATCAATAAGTACATGGAGACGTAGGCAACAACAATGAAGTCGCACACATAAAACAAACTCTCGAAATTCAACGCCAAAAAAACTCGCTGCTGGTCATTTGGTCATCGATCGGTATATAAATAAGTAATTGATTAGCCGGGAAAAAAAAGACGTCGTAGCATTTCTCATTAAAACTAAGCTGTGATTCGTTCAGCGCTGGCGACTCTGTCACATTTCGGCCAATCGCTGCCACCGGCCTTTTTTATCCATCAAGTTGGCCAACCTGTAAAACTTCCAAACGACATAACCTGCTCGCACACATATCAACAACACACAATCGAACCACCAAAATGGCTGGGTCGTAAGTTTAGCTGACCGCCTGTAATTTCAATTCGTAATAACAAAAGTAACATCAATAAGTTACATTGTTTAAGCAACACCATTAGTAACTGAATTTATGTGAGAACACTTTAGTGCTCGGTAACAATGTAATTATCAAAAAATAACAAACAGTGAAGGTGAAAAGAGCACATCGGCGAAGAAAGGACACCCTGCATGCGGATATCGAAGTATGCGCAAAAGCCTGGTGTGATGTGTAATGGTTTGTGATACGTGATGCGCCGGACGTGGGTGATACTAATCATATTTTTAGAGTCGTTAGCTCAGCAGAGGGAGATAAGGTACGAGCATTTTCTTTCACAAGTTCCGTGATTTTTCACGCTTACACACGAACGTTCGTCCGATTCCGAGAGCGCAGTAAGTACAACCTAATTTATCATCTCCCGCACATTTTTTTTTTTTTGTCATGGTATAGTATTGTAATTTTTTTGTTGTTTTTTTTATTACTTTCCATTAGTGAGAGCTGCGAGGTAAAAAGAGCGTTGTTGCTAACGACCGCAACAATAACAATCACACCAGTCGGTACACGCGCCAGCAATGTCGCAGCAGATGGAGTCGCGGGGCCGAGGCAGGCCCCCAAAACAACGGAGTGTGTGCACCTGGTGCGGTGTGGTCAAACAGACGCTAAACTACGTGTTGCCGACTCAGCATAGCCGCAAGGAGTTCTGCTGCGAGACCTGTTTGGCCGAGTTTAGCAAGGCCTACATGCGCGGAGCCTGCGTCCTTTGCGACAACGTCATCCGCGGCAACCCGGTACGCCTCGAGACTAAAAACGAACCTCACAAGGACTTTTGCTCGACCGTCTGTCTAAACAAGCATCAGAAGAGGGAACTCCAGCTGCAGCGAACCAGTCATAACAGCCAAAAGCCCAACAAGGAGGATCAGCCGCAAGCGCCTCTGCTGGCTACCGCACCAGTACCAAATTCCACCAGCAAACAGACTACCACAATCAACAACAATAACAACAATAACAACAACAATAATAACATCAGCAACAATGCATCCACGTCATTTAGCGGAACTCTGCAGACCTACGAGACGTTTGTGCACTTTGATTGGGACGTGTATCTCAAGGAGACAGGGAGCGAGGCTGCACCTATTGAGAATTTCAGACAGTTTGCTGAGCCACCGGTGAATGATTTTCAAATTGGCATGAAGTTGGAGGCTCTGGATCCCCGAAATGTTACCTCCACCTGTATTGCTACAGTCGTGGGCATTCACGGGCCAAGACTTAGACTGAGGCTCGATGGGTCTGATAATAAGAATGATTTTTGGCGTCTGGTGGATAGCAGTGAAATTCATCCTATAGGCCATTGTGAAAAGTCAGGAGGAATGTTGCAACCACCTTTAGGTTTTCGCATGAATGCTTCTAGCTGGCCAATGTTTTTACTCAAGACACTGAATGGAGCGGAAATGGCGCCAGCTAAGCTTTTCAAGTTGGAACCAAAAGCCCCACGCTGCAACATGTTTCAAGTGGGACAGAAACTAGAGGCCATTGATAAGAAAAACCCACAGCTGATATGCACAGCAACTGTTGGGGCTGTGAAAGATGATATGGTACACATAACTTTTGATGGCTGGAAGGGGGCATTTGACTACTGGTGCAGGTATGATTCCCGAGATATTTTTCCTGCAACCTGGTGTTTAAGAAGTGGTCATCCACTACAGCCACCCAGGCAAAAAACAGGACCCAATCGTTTTAAATCCAGAAGTAGCAATGTACTACCAGTCATGGCTGTGTCTGGAAGTGGATCTGTAAAAGAGTCAGCTGTAGCTTTAGTTAGTCCAGCTGCAGGCTTGAGTGCACCACCTCAGCCAGCCACAGAGCCCGATACGAGTACAACCAATAATAAAGTAGTAGCCATTGAGAATATTAATTTTTATGTTAATCACAATTGTTCTTGCGGTCAATTCTTTGACCAAAGAAAAATCAAGGTTATGCAGTCACAATTCAGTGGTAGAGCAGAGTCAGCTATCAAAGATGCCTTCCAGGCATTTTTAATGGCAGCAATAGGTCCAAGGCAGATATTAAGTTTGTTACAACGTGGTGAAGGTGAAAGCATAACATTAATAATAGAATCAAAACCAACTACTGTTGTTTTGCCAGTTTTCACAGAAGAAGAAGACGTGTATGTTTATATGAAAAGACAATTAGAAGTCCTAGGAGCTTGTCAAAATTTACTTTCAAGGAGAAGAGAGCCCTGTAAAAAGTGTATAGTTGTACAGCAGCAGCAGCAGCAGCAGCAGCAGCAGCAACAAAACCTTGGTAGGAAAGATGAGTCAAACAACATAAATGGTATGGTTCAGAAAAGGCGGTGGTCATCTGAAGTACAGCAAGAGAATCCATCATCAACCCAGCAACAGCCACAGCCACCCCAAATAATAAGACCACTTGCAGTACAGCATCCTATTATAGAAGCCCCTGCACCTCCTAAGCAAATAAGGAGACCCGTCCCTGAACTCGAGGCTGCGACGTCAACGACGCAAAACGACAATCTAACAAGACCACTTCCACCCGAGCCCGTGGAATGGACAGTTGAAGATGTAGTACAGTACATCCGTATGACTGATCCAGGCCTATGCACCAACGCTGATCTGTTTAGAAAACACGAAATCGATGGCAAAGCGCTGTTGCTTCTCAACTCGGAAATGATGGTTAAATACATGCAAATGAAGCTTGGACCAGCTCTGAAGATTTGCAACTTAATTAACCGTATTAAGAATAAACGGCGTTAATACTGTGATTATTTCGCACATGAAAATTTTAAATCTACCGTATGTATTTTTTTTAATTTTTTTTTTATTAATGCCGTTTAAGTACCGCATGATGTTGATTTTTTTTTTTTTTTTTCATTAGTTTCATTATATTATGTACTCGTTGAGGTGATAGTACAGTAAAAATCATGTCAGAACTGAATTTTTTAATGTTTTAACATACACGTTACAGTATACAGTAGTAAGTTTCTTGCAGTCGCTTCGTTTAAGAAGAGATTTATGTAAGTGAACTAGTCACTTATGTCCGTTTTAGTTATTATCTTTTTATGATAACTTTATAAAGATAATTTTAATGTTAAAAACACTACTTGATGTAGAGTTTTTATTAATTTTTGCTTTCAACTGATTATATTATTAATTCTAGTTTTATATCAGCATTTTTTAGTATGTACAACCTTATGTGTTTAAATCTGTTTGCTGATAGATTGCCAAAAATTCTACTTCTGAATATTTTTACTGTGAATATATCTATGAGTTTTGTATGATTAGGAATTAAATCATGAAAATAATTTTGAATTATTCTCTCAAAGTTGACTATTACAGAACAAACATTAAATTTTAATGCATGTTTACAATGTTTTTGAACTAATCGATAGCTGACATTTTTTTAACGAAATGGAGCATATATAGAGTGTACAAAAAATCATTGTTTTTCTTTTTATCACAATTACATGGTTTTTAAAATTTGATTTTGTTTTTCAAAATTTGCATCCCTAGTTTTTTTGTGTATTATTGAAAGCGTGATGGCTTTAATATTATAATTCCACATTAGATGATGGGCTCAATGTATGCATTTTATAAATTTAAAAAAGACTTGAAGTTTCAAAAATGTAATTTTTGAAGAACAAGTGTTAAGCCATCTAGAATTCCAATGCGCAGGTGTTTATTTCTTCATTTTATCAAAAGTAATTTATTATATTAAGTAGGGCAATCACAAACAATTGCACATATTCTATACACCTTTTAATATTAATCAGTGAAATAATATCAACTGTGATTCCTAAAGTTGTAAGACAAAGCATGGTGGCTGACTGAAAAAAGTAAAATCTTTGTAATTATTGTACAATGAAATAAATAACAGTGCGTGTTGATGACTGTAGAATTTAACGTTGATGTAGACATTAATCAAGAAAAAAATAATGGCGATTAGACATTATTTCGCTGTAAACTAAGCTAGATATAAGCATTCTCGTCAGCTTGGGTCAATGTTAATTGCGAAGCAGTTTTGAATACTTTGAAAACTGCTCCAATAATTTCTGTCTATACCAGAAAAAACAGAAAATCTTTGTGTCATGAATAATTTATTCGATCATATACGATTTTACGTAATGCAAAAATTCATTTGTGTCGGTTATTGACGTATATATGAACCAATCAAAAAGAACGTACAATTACAGACACACAGTAAAATTCTTTTCAGTTTCTAAAATATTAGAATTTAAGAAAGAAATTTTTTTTTGTAAGCGTTTGTTTTTATTATATTTTTCATTATTTTTCAAATGTTATGTTTTTGATTTACAATAATAAAGTAAAATTTATTAAAAATCAATATTCAATGCCTTGTTGCGATTTCAAAAACCCTTGCTAGTAACCATAATCGTTATGTACAAACCTGATTTCAAGTGTTACAAGTTTTATTAATCATTTGGGCAACAAACGATACAATTAAAAATCCAAATTGTTTTTCAATACATTTATTGACTGACAACAGTTTTCATAAATAGTTTTTATAATAAATTGATAATAACCAATAGATATTTATACATGAACATATATATCTTATAAAGTTTAATGACTAACGTTTTGCTGATGCGTGCACGCACATTTCATACGATATATTTTTATAATTTCGAGCTAAAACACAGGTATATAAAAAAAAACACAGGAGACCAGCTGTAATACTTTTTTCGCGAAACACTATAACAATAGCAGTAAAGGCGATGAATCTTCCAGAGTAACATATCCAGAAGCATCTACCAATACCGACAGAATTATTTCCCGTCAAAGTTCGCGAAATCGGCAAAGCCGAACGCGTCGCTGCCTCCGGTGCCTCCCGAAGTTGTCTTCTCAGCAAACGGATCCGAAGTATTCATTATGGACGACGCGCCCAGCGGCGGGGTGTTCCTCGCCCCAGCCATTTTTGGAGGGGCGGGCCTCGGAGGCGGTTTCTTGGCTTGCTTGGCGGGCAGAGCTGGGCTGGAGCTCTCGGACTTGACCGGCGCGTGGAGGGCAGCGAACGGATCCTCACCAAAGGGGTCCTTCACCTGGGCCATGTCCGCCGAGGAACCCTTGGGCGAGACGCCGTCGTTGAAGGGGTCGTAGGATTTCTCGTTGAATGGGTCGCTGGCGAAGGGATCCTTGTTGCTACTGCCGAAATCATCGCCAAACGTCGCGAACTTTGCCTCCTTGACTTCCTGGTTGTTGTTGTTGTTGTTGTTGTTGTTGTTGTTGTTGTTGTTGTTGAACGCGTCCTTGTTTTCCTTGTTTGACTCGTCGTCGATCTGGCTGTTCTTTTTATTGATGTCATAGACGGACCAGTCAATCTTCAAGTAGTACAGGGTCTCCGGAATGTTTGAAATGTCGCCCGAGTTGATGGCAGAGTCGTACTGAGTGATCGCGTCGAGGATCTGGTGCTGCTGCTCCTCGAGCTGGGTCATCTGTGCTTTAGTCTGGCTGATCTTCAGCTGGGTGTTCTGTAGCTCGTTGGATAGGGAGTTCAGCTTGTTTTTGCAGTCGTTCTGCTGGCTCTCCAGGCTCTGCTCGGTCAGCCTCAGCGACTCGATTTCTTGGCGCTTGGTCTTGAGCTCGTCCTCCTGGGCACACAGGGTCGTCTCTTGGTCCTCGGCCTGCTGGCGCAGCTTGTCGACCTGAGCCTTGAGGTCATTCAATCGCTTTTGCGCCTCGCCTTTCTGGCTATCGAGTTGCCTGAGGGTTGCCGCCAGAGTGTCTAGCTCGCTCTGAAGGCTCTTAATTTCGCCGCTCTTGATTTTAATGTCCGCCTCCTTTTGGGATATGTCTTGCTCCAGTATGTGTTTCTCTCGGATAATCTCGATGATGTCCTTGTTAATCATGTCGAGCTCTGGATTTGAGTAGCTGCAAACGTTGTTGTTGTCCTTGTTGCTGTCAGCGCCCTTCTTTCTGAACGACGGCGGGATCATCTCGGGAGTCAGCTTGGCAGGAAGCTCTTTGTTGCTTAACTTCTGTTTAATCAGCCACATGGACAGAGCGAACTGTTCATTGTTGAGTTTTCCACTTTGAGAGATGTCACACAGACCCCAAATGTGCGCTAGGATGGCTTGAGGCAGTCCACTTTGAATGAAAATGTCTTTGATTTCAGCTCCAGATACAAAACCGTCCAAATCCTTGTCAGCCTGAACAAACAGCTTGTCCGCTGCTTTTTGATCTTCAGTGGAAACTATCCAGTCGGTTTTTATTTCTTTCTCGGGTGAAAAGCCTGATATAAGTTGCGGTGGAGGAGCCGCCACCACTACCGGTTGTACTTGCGGCATTGGATCCGTTAAGAGAGTACGATTGCTGTCCATGAGCTCAATGGGTAGTACGTTTGGTATGGGATGCTTTTGAACAGCTTTGCATACCAAATGCATGGCAACGAAAAATTCATGTCGATTCAATTTACCGTCTCTATCCATATCAGCTAGATCCCAAATTTTCCCTAAGCTCTCGAGCGGCAACTTGCTATCCATCAGTATTCCTTTTACTTTGTTACCAGATACGTATCCATTTTCAGGCCCCAGATTTTGAAATAGTAATTGATATTTCTCCCTTTCTGCTGGAGTAATTGTCCAAAAACTACTGAGTGTCGAGACATCGCCCATCATTGGGGGATTTACGTCCGCATAAATGTTTGCAATAGTCAAGTCGAGACCCTGTTGGGCTAGAGCACACATTTTTAAGGCAACGATCATGCCTGCCTTGTCTAAGTAACCACGTGAATGAGGATCCGCCATGTCCCATATTTTTATTAACAATTTCTCACTCAGCTGGGACTTTTTCAAAAAATCAGCAGCCTCTTTTGGTCCAACATGCCCTTGGTTGTTGGGATCAACCAGCTTGTAATAACTTTCGTATACAGACAAGTGAGAACCAGCTACTTTCGTGGGTGTGGGTAATGTAGCCATGATAAACTTATTTATAAAATTTTACAATCTGAAACATGAACGAAAAATCTTGCAATAAAGTTCCTCCAACTTAAAATAAATTTATGTCTATGATACAAACCTAATCATTAATACTATGGAGACACAACCACAGTATAGACAATGTCTTCCAAATGTAAATATCAGCTTTCAAAACAAAAACAAGCTGACAGTAACATTAAGCAGCTATGTATACTAAGTATAAGGATGCAATGTTTGCAGCAACTGTCAGTCTTAAGTATGTGATATAAACTTTAATTTTACTGGCCTAATAAAATCTTTTATCAATAATTTTCAATATTCATACATCAAACAACATAAACTCTTTCAACTACACCGTCAACGTGCGTGTATTTGAAGTGCTAAGAGAACAGTTGTGTATGTACTTATTGATTTTATTATCCAAAGATGTATCAAGTTAGGTTACCACTATTCTGATTTAAAAATATCACCAATAATGCACACCAACGATAAATATGCTACGTCCAAAAAATTGATGCTCAAAAAACGCAACACCTATAATTACTGATCAGCCATTGCCCAGAAATAAATGACTTAATAAACAAAAATCTGCTGCTAGGGTGCGTTCCAAAAATTAGATTCGCCATGTAAATGGCAACGCTGCCCACTGCCGTCAGAACACTCAGAACTACAACCACTTACCTATACCACACCAGAATGTAGTCAGATGTAGTGACCTGCAGGATAAAACTCTTTGACAAAAAAATCACTAGCAAAACTTACTAGGCTAGTGTCCGTAGCGGAGGGTCTATTGGAGCCGATCTACTAGACCCTACGCTCACATTCTAAAAATTCACTAAGAAATTTTTCTAGGCTATAGTGTCCGTAGCGGAGGGTCTATTGGAGCCGATCTACTAGACCCTACGTTCACTTACTTAAAATTCAAAAGAAAATTTACTATAGGCTAGTGTCTGTAGCGGAGGGTCTATTGGAGCCGATCTGCTAGACCCTGCGCTCAGGCCGATAAAAAATTTATTGCAGAGCCCTGATGTATCGGTACCTACCATCGGTAAGTGTTGAGGGTCGGTAAACACCGGCCGTCGGTAAGACAGATAATCGTTTCACAAATTTTGGCGGGTCGTTTCTTGGTGTACCGACCGTAGATAATACCGACTGTCAATACTTACCGACGGTTTGGTGTTAATACGGCAGAAATCTTTCGTTGACCCCGATACAGCAGGACTTTGCGATAAATTTTTTTATCGGCCGTCAGTCTTTTTCACATATGCGCATGAGCATTTAAAGGTCGATTTTTGACGTATGCATGAGCATTTTAAAGGTCGAAATTTGGAGAAAATAATTATATTAGCGGAGAATTTTCACTAGAACTCCGCTACGGACACTAGCCTGTAGTAAATTTTCTTAGTGAATTTTTAGAATGTGAGCGTAGGGTCTAGTAGATCGGCTCCAATAGACCCTCCGCTACGGACACTAGCCTGTAGTAAATTTTCTTAGTGAATTTTTATAATAGGAGGGTAGGGTCTAGTAGATCGGCTCCAATAGACCCTCCGCTACGGACACTAGCCTGTAGTAAATTTTCTTAGTGAATTTTTATAATAGGAAGGTAGGGTCTAGTAGATCGGCTCGAATAGACCTTCCGCTATGGACACTAGTCTAGAAAATTTTCTTAGGCTGCGTATACATGGAGTCTTGAACTTCCAGGACCAGCCCATAAGCCCGTGTGAGTGCGAGTGAGAAGCAAGAACGCATTACTCTCTTTCTCGCACTCACGAGGGCACATGGGCTGGTCCTAGATATTCAAGACTCCATGTATACGCAGCCTTAGTGAATTTTTAGAAAGTCAGTGTATACACTATAGGGTCTAGCGGAGCCGATCTAATAGACCCTCTATGGACTAGCCTAGTAAGTTTTGCTAGTGATTTTTTTGGAAAAGAAATATGGTACTTTTTTAGTTTGGTAACTGAATGTAGATGAGCGCATGGAAGAGATGATGGAAATGATGGATGTAACAGATGATGCTCATCAGGTTTCACACAACGGTAAAGATGAATGAAGATAGAAGATGATTAGGTGAAAGATGATCGCGCAAGAGCGCCGATAGTGCCAAGTGGCCTGACCGTGAACTACTAAAACTGAAATGGGCGACATCGACATAATATATCATATGGATGCACAAGCTGTGCAAGTGTAACTGCGTATGTATACAGATATTACATACACATCACATGTACATAACACACACTCGCAAAGTTACACAAGTTACGCGAAGTTGCGAAGAGCGCGTGTACCGCCCGTTCGCGTGCTCACGTGGATTGGTAATAAGTACTTATCTTGTAATTATAGTTATCGTCCGCGATTGATTAAAAAAACCCAAGATTCACCCAAGCTGATTGACGATACTCCAAAGGGCAGAAGAATAATAATAAGAGAAAGAGTGCGAGAGATCAGTGTGTGGAAGGCAGCCTTCATCCCTTCATCGTCAACGAATAGAACCCCGTATTCCCCGAGTCTTCGCAGCAGTTGGAGCGGCACCAGCAAAACCTAACCCAAAGAGCAGCGCCGAGTGCACACGGCAGCGATAGAAAAAAAAAAAATCAAAAAAATAGAGTAACATAGCGGGTACGTAAGTATAAGAGCATTTTCCTCTTGGCTCGTTTGATGCCACATTGTGCAAAACGACTTCGCATACACGAACACATCCAACATTATGTTACTCTGAAAAAAAAACGAAGTCCGTAGACTTTAAACACGTGTGCGGCCCGCGGCGGAATCATCCACCAGTTCCGAGATCTCCTGGTGTAAAGTGTTGCCTAGAACACAAAAAAAAAAAAAGTAAAAGAGCGCACAGCAGCCGGCACTTTTGAGGTCGTTCGTTGCATCAACGAACGATGATGGCCGCATGGCTGCTGCTGCCGCCGCCGCCGCGTGGTTATACTCGGCAAGGACCGCCCGGCGATGTCGCACTATGTACGCACGGGGGTCGCCCATACGCGTCCTCGTCCAGACGCCGCTTTAAATGCCTATCTTCCCTCAAGCCGTTGACATTACTATCCTTCTCTTCGACGTTGTTTTTCTTCCTTTTTTTTTTTTTTTTTTTTTGTTTAAAGCTTGAATGATGCTTACTGGAAATTTGAGCGAGAGATAAACCTATACATACATTTTGTTGCGCGTCGAAGAGGGGAAGAAGAGCCATGCCGCATATATACAGTAATATATGGAACGCTTGAAAAAGGGACGGTAGCGCAGAGAGCAGGCGGCGTGCGTGGCTTGTAAATTTAATAAGGTTATAAGCCCGTGGCACGCACTACCAGCATATTTTGGTAAGAAGCGCACATTTGGGCCTTTTAAATTTTGATAATCGTCCGGGTGCTGCTCCAGTTTATGTCTGTTGTTGTCATTGCTGGACGAGGTGCGGAAAATCACAAGTCCGATACGCTATAGGTGTAAAGATCCTACAGCGTGTGTAGAGCGTGGACGAAAAGTTTAAATTACTTTTGGGCCTTACTTAGTGCTGCTCTGAGTTTTGAGTGTGAAAGATAAAAAAGGAAGCCACGCTTGCTTGTCACTTTATTTACAAGGTAAACATTTTTATTCACTTGTTCTGTCATTGGTTGTTATCATATATGTGTACATATGTTAATATTGAGTTGTTGAATAAGTTCTCGCAACTGTTTTCCAACTCTCGAGTGTTTGCAAAAGGTGTGTCGTTTTTTCGATGTGGAACTGATAAAGCAGGTTGCCGGAAAAATAGAAAAAATTAGCTACTAACGATGGAAAATATCTTTAGTCACTTGTACTTTGAGTCGTTTTTTTAATAATTGTCAAAAACACCATGAGAACTCATTAAATCTCCCAATGTTTATTAGTGTACATATTAAAAAAAATGTATATATACTAAAGTTGTTTTAAATAACTGCAATTATAAAACAGTATAAGACAGAATAAAACGCAGTCTTAGTTTACTGCGTCTTTTTTAGGGATACACGAAGAGCATGTCATGCCTTAGATTATATTTTTAACGGGATTAGGTTGTAGTAAGATGCTGATGGGGTACCAATACGTGTTTAGTTTGGTATGTGTGTAGATGTATCCGTGCATAATACAGTTTGCATGTATACTTCACACACTCACAAACTCGTGAATGACAACTCTGGCGTGGGGACTTGAAGAGTATGAGATTCCTAAAGCTAACTAGTAAAAAAAACCTTTCCTATTAAACCTGTTAAAGTCGTCTACAGTTTAATTTCTTCTGAAAAAGAAAAAAAAAAAATTATTTTTGGAATCTCTTACTTTTAATGAAAAATTCTATAATATTTGTGACACCTGACAACTTTCAATTTCATTCTAAATTAGATAATTTTATGAGAATAATTTTTATTTTAAATTCAGGAATGAATAGCTCCAGGCATCTGCTAGGTACATTTTAGCTGAGCTTGTAAATTTAAGGTGCCAGGACTTCCTCTATGTTTTTCCCAACATAATGTGTACACAGCTTTGAGTGGGACAGTGAGTTAATACACATTTCCTTAGGTGCATCCATAACAACTATAGTTTATCTCTTTCTAGTTCTCGTTTGGATCAGCATGCAATAAGCAAACATGTTTTCAACCCACTAAAGTTTTATTTTATACGAAATAGTGTTTTTTAATTTATTTGAATTGAAATATCAATTGAATTTATTATTAAATTTTTTACGTATCAAGAACAGAAATCTTTATTAAATATACATATGTTTTAAGCCAAGTTATTTATAAAAATAATTATAAATTTTGTTGAGTTTATTAACGTACTGAAAATTTATCAAATTATATCTTGGCTTGTATGTACTTGTTGTAGGGTATTTCTCTCTCTCTCTCTCTCTCTCTCTCTTTCTCTCTCTCTCTCTCTCTCTCTTGATAAGATGATGACGGTTTTATTTTACGAAAAAATCCCAAGTGAATTTTGTAGTTAAATATTTTAGTTGTCAAATAAATTGAAAACCTGGCACGCAAAAGTCATACTTTGCATTCCTTAGTATTCAGACAGTTGAACAAAAATGATGGAGTGTTTTGTGCAATTATTTTTAATTTGCAACTTTAAAGTATTGTAGCAAGCTTTTGAAAAATGGTAGTTTGAAAAAATACATTGTATGTAGAAATATATAAAAATAAAATTTAGATTTAAGGCGTTTTCTTAAACGACAGTTGTGAACAATTTGTTAGTACACGTTATTGAATTTTTTTTTTAATTTTTCGTGCTTCTCAGTAATAGAAAAATTATATGCAAACATGTTGTATTTAAAAAATTAGTATAACTTTTTTTTACTACTACTGTATTCATGTTTAATCAAATAAATTTTATCGAAACATTAATTTATTCTCAATGCATGAAATTCGGTGTTGCGCTTTTTAATGCAATTTTGAAAAATGCCTTGCAGATAGTTATAAAAAATATGTACTGTATATTTGAAAAAAAAAAATCTAAATAAATCATCATTGATTATTTTCAAATATTGTTCGGTTAAATATACATCAGTGATTATTTAATCGTACAATTTTAAAAATTCTTAGTGACATAAAATCACGCATGTTACTGTTACCTTTAAAAAAATGATCTATAAAAAAAGAGTATTTATTTCGTCAATTACGTGACAGTCAAAATTATCGTTCGCGATTCTGCATTTACGATTGAAACTGCTAACAAATAGGGTTTGCCCCCAATGCTTAAAAATGTTGTTCGTGTTTTAAGTAATCTTGATTATTTGATACTACGCATGTAAATTTAAGTTGAAATATAAAATAAGCTATGAAATGACAGATGTTGATTTTAATTTATCGTAACAATATCCATCAAGAATAAGTTGCGATTGAATTTCGATAAAACCTACTTCAGATAAAGACGGGGAATTTTCTTCTATTCATGATAAAGATCATTTCATTGAAACTCAATACTGTATACTATGACGAAGATAATTGAAATCAATAAGGAAATGTCGTGAAAATATTTATGTTCGGAACAAAAACTTTAAAAAACTGTTGATTGTCTATCACATTGTTTTTATCAGCTACAAAGACATTTACACTTGCATTGTATACAACTAATAATCTATGAAAGTGTAAAATAAAAACCAATGCGCGGCATTTGTAGTAAAATGAGTTAATAGAGCTTCAACTGGGAAACAATATCATGAGTCAAGGTTGTAAAACACTGTAAAAAATATCCAACTACTAATCTCGAACCAGGTAGCTGTACCTATTTTTTTCGTTATCTCTTACGTATATATATATAGTATTAAATATATAGTATTAAACATGACGCTATAAATTGGAGAACATATACGTTATCATATGCTAAAGAAATAAAAATACTAAACTTACAAAATTTTGCCATCTTGAGTCTTTGTTTTTTGTTCAATTTGCACACTTATTTTTACTGTTCGGAATAGTAACTTTTATCGTTATTGTAGCATTTTTTACTGTTTGAAGTCGTAGTTTTACAGTTCTGCACAGTAAAAACTAGTGTGCAACCAGTAAAAAGTCTCTGGACGACATGTTCTCTGACGGCAAGTCTCTGGAATGTCATCACGTTATATCGCCAGAACTGTAATTTGTATGATTCATTTTTGCAAGCGTACTGATACATAACGCTTGGAAGTTGATTAAAAATCGTAGATAAAAAGTTAAAGGTTCTGTGATGAAAACAAGTTTTATTCCAACCGCGTCAAACAAAATTTTTTTACACATTTTGTTCGAATGCTGCCCATAACACTTGAATACCTTATATAATTCGCAAAAAATATCTGCATTTAAAAGTTAGTATTACTCGAACATTTTTTTTAATTAAAAAGAAACTGTTGCTCTTACATCTCGAAACTTTCATAACCAATATAACGCGGACTTACAACATCAAGTAGTAGAAAAAAAAAGTTGTTAATTTGAGAAAATCATATTTTATTGTTTCTCACGACCAAAATTCACCACGTCACCATTGATATGGTGATAAAGCGCATAAAATCCCTTGATGTTCAATTGACCTCAAAAAATAAAAGTACACATCCGAAGTAAAACGTTTTACGAATAAAAAAAGTACAAGTTGTACCTTCACAAGAAGAAGCGCATCCCTATGATATTCCCATGCAGGTTTTGTTGGGGCAAACAATGACGTACACATGCACACCCCCGTATATACGTATTCATCCACTTGCACTCAACTCTGCACAGTAAATCTCTTTCCCCCCCCCCCCCTAACCCAGCTTTTACTGTGCCGCATTCGAATAACAAGAAAAACGAATACAAAACCGGGGAAGTCCCGAGAACGAAGCCAAGATGGAGAAAGAAAAGAGAAAGCAGGAAGAAATAGAGAGAGATATATATAAATGTAGATGGAGAACGTTTTGAGAGAAGGCCATGGCACTCTCTTGGAGAAGAGGATATAAGACGGGCTTCTTCTTCGTGTGCTCTATCTCTTTCTAAAAATGTTACGAACCACCGGTGATATATTTATGATTTATTCTACATTCACACACGTATTTGCGCGACTTTGGTCATATTTGCTGCGCACTTCCGAGACCCAATTAGCCTAATCCAAGTACAGTATATAAGCCATACCTTTGAGGCATGTACCAACACTTGTATACATGTATATTAAGCCATCGTGACTCTGTACCGTGATTTTCCAACTAAGTTTTCTCTAAAAGTATTTCTTTTCCCTGAAAACTTATTTTTCCCAAGATTTTCGCTCCTCAGGTACACAATAAATACTCCGCAAAGACTACCCGTATCTCCCTGCCTCTCACAACTACGTGTTTGGGTACCTGCTCGATTGTTCTTTTCTTCGGACCACCTGCAGCCTTGGGTCCTCCTCCGTCACCTCGATGAACCAAAGTTTCGAAAACGCGATAAAGAGTTGCGTTTATGCTCCCCATGGATTCCAAGTGCGAATACTCGAAGAAGAAAAAAAGTCCTTACGATTTTCCTTTGAAAAAAAGTTAAAGCTAGCAAAATTATAATTCTCGCGTAGCCAAATGGTACAGCAGCGGTCACTGCATTTAAGAGCGGACGGTTATAGGTACATAAAACTCGGAAAATCGGTTTTAATAAAAAACTGCGCTCGGGCGGCGCGGTGTAATTTAAATTCACCTTCTCTCCCACCAACTCCCCCGAAGTGATTAAGCAATAGCAAAAGCTCACGTGTTCCCTCGTATACAGAGCCAGTCGCAACATACATATGCAAAGGTAACGATCGGTTTGCCGTAAATTATCTATACCACGTTCAAAATGACCGTTTTGGAGCGTAACCGCTTGTCCACCTGTTCATACCGATTTTTCACACGCCTCTTTTCATCTCTATCCGGATAAGCTCGTAACAAATCGTAATCGTCTCTGGGAACTTTTTTTTTTTTCTCTCTTCGGTACCTGCAGTACGGCAGGTCAAGCCGTAGACGAGTTGGGTTGTGTACCTATATCTCGACGACGCCACCTCGCTCGTTCCGGCATTCCAAGCGCACGTTGAACCGGCGACGCGCACACATGGCATAGGTATAGATCGCACCTTCACCTATAATACTAACTCCACTGCTCCTGCGTGGCTATAGCTAATCGCTGGGTATACCCATGTACCCTGTATCACCAACTCCTGCAAGACATGCAGATCAGGTGTGATATATAGTATAACTCGACCGGCGTGCCAACACCACCACGTGCTGCTACGATGTATAATACAGTGCGAATATATACATACGCATTAAATCGGCCTGCGTAAATAGCATTTCTGCGCGGGCGCGTTATCAATTGCACGAATCTCAATTGCGATAGTTCAGGGTGGTTTTTTTGTTTTCTCGAGAAAGGAGTATGCCCGTGAGCCAACTGGTATTGGACTACTACCCCTTATAAATCGGTAAAATTAGGGAGGTAATCAATTTATTGTTCGTTTTTTACTAATTTTGCATAGCGGCAACGCACTGTCACTCCCCAAGAAAGTTTTATTAGTCTAAAAGGTGTGTATATATATATATATGGTGTTATCTCTCTGCAAAATTTTACGTGAAGAATCTAAGTAATCTTAAAACAGGTGTTGGACGAATAGCTTGACTTGTACAAACTTTTGCCCTGGAATTTATGATAGTTTTTACTTCTCCCCCCCCCCCCCACCCCCCGCTTGGGCGTCGGTAGTATATAATCCACTAGAACCGCAAATTAAGTACTACCTCTACACTGCCGTGCAACTAAACCGAGTCGTTCGCAACAACTTTTACTATCGTATATACTCACGTAACCATATAATGTTAACCGAAGAGCCGTTGTGTGTTGGCCGCGCACACAATCTTTCCTCGTATCATATGTATTGAAATGCCTTTTTTTCCCTCAAACCCGCTATCACAGCCACCAACACTGTACTACGATTATCTATGTAAGCATTCGCGTACGCCTTATCGTACGGATATACTCGACTTCTGCGCTCCCTATCCATTCTGAATTTTTTTTTTTTTTTTTTTCTTGAAGTCTTGCACATCAGCTCCCCAAAAGCCGGGCACAGGTTCTATATAATACATCGGCGTCAGAGAAAAGAAGAGTAAACCGTGTTCCGCGCCTACGGTGGACGTGTACTCTCCCACTCTTTCCTTTTCGTCTCTCTCTCTCTCTCTGATATACACATAGCGCGCACACAGAGGCACTCGTGCTCGGTGGAGTAACTCCATACAGCAGCCTGCTCCAGAGTCTTGGAGCGTCCACGCCAGCAGCAGCGTCGAGAGCCACGTGCTAAGCTTGCTAACAGCCGGTGCAACTTACCACCCTCGCCGATGCTCGCGTGTACATTTTTTTTTACCCACCAACGTTTACGAATAAAAAATTTACCCTTTTTTTTTCTTTCTATAAGAGATTTCCTCGAGATATGATGTGGTAATAGTTCTCTTGTGTATGACAATATATAATATGTGGATGGTGACGGTGATATTGCGGTGACTATTGGGCGCTACAGCCGGTGTTTTATGGTTAATCGGTGACGCCATTCCGGAGGAGGAACCATAAGTTTGCGGACCATTTTTTTGTTTTGAGGGTTGGCTCTGGAAAAAAATATGGCATTCTCGTCGGTGAGTCGATACCGATTTCGGTTGTTTGCATGTTTGCTTCTTCTTCTTCGGAGGAGTGGTTTTTTTTTTTTTCCGGGTGTCGCGACACTTTGGCACGTGTTTCTCTCATACCATATGTAAGCGAAAGCATCCGCAAGCCCCACACGCTCTCTTTCTCTCTAGTTCGGAATATTTTAGCAATCTGTGCAGAACAATTTTACTGCTCGCGTGTCTTTATGGGTCTTTAGATTTTTTTTTTTTTTTTTTTTCTTCGTGCATATTATTATATTAGTCCAGAAGTAAATTAGTTTAAACACATTTTTTTCTATCTGTACGAAGGTGAATCTGGGATTTTTCAAGAGCCGGTCTTTTAAAACTTTGAGAACAGGTTATTCGACGATCTGTCTTTGCAATGTAACCTGTAATTGAATTTTTTAGTCAATGAAAAATGTTATCATTAGTCATTAGAGCCTGTTTTGCTCGAAATCGACGCGGTAATTGTTTTTTCATCGGTGAACATTCATTGATAGACGCGAATAGATAATAAAAAAAAAAATTTGGTATTTGCGCATGTGTATACTGAGGTACGATGTATTATAATTATTTGTAACATATTTTCCATTTTTTCTTATCATTTCTTTAAAAACCAAAGTTTTTATTAAAAAAAAAAGAAAAGAAAAAAAAAATTGGAGTTATTTAAAATATAAATGATCTTTTTTAAGTTCAATACGATGTATATATATGTATATTATGTAGGATTAATTAAGAGATAAAAAAAGTGCTCACTTAATGATCGGATTTTCTAAAATTGATGTTATTTCAATCGACAATAAATCCATTTAAACGGTCGACTTGGTAATACCGATTATAAAAAACGTGTTATGTATTCAAAGTTTAAGAAAATTTACATACGATAAGATAAACAATAATCTCACCTGTGTCAGCAAAACTTTGAAGGAAAGTGCGCGAAAACCAATGTTTGGAAAAAAAATAATTTATGAGTGGTAAAGAAGAAGAAAAAACCCCGAAAGCTAGACGTAATTTTTAGCTGTTGATACAAAATTATCGCACGTTTAAGGGAAAATTTGTTTTTACAACAGTTAAAACCAAGGAGAGCATAAACATATACGTTGTATACCATGAGGCTTGTGATGAATTAATGTAAATGAGCACAAAGATCATAATCGTGTAAGCATAAAAACTTAACGACATTACGTTATCATCAGTTATGGAAATTTGATCGAAAGTTGAATCATCGCTTACCAGGCGATTCGTTAAAAGTGAACAGGTGTGAAAAGTGAGGAAAAAAAAATTAATTAACCAAGTCTCGCGTAACATATGTCGCTTGGAATTGTTTACGGTACGAAAGAAAATGAAAGCTCGGTATCGAGAACAGTCGTAAAACATTGGCTCTGAGAAATATTTTTCCCACGAGAAAAGCCGAGTTTGTTTCGTACCCATGTTCTTGTTATATGGCCATATTCGGCGAACAAGCGTGCCATCCAACAAGTCTCTCTAAGTCCTGAAACTTCAAAATCCAAACGTGAGAATCTCGACTGGAGATAAAAATTGAAGTACAAAGAATTTTCTCCTTGGTTTAGCTGTTTATTCTTCACGCGCGTGCACACGCACTTACCCCTGGCACATTAAACCCTTCCACCAACAAAGTCCGCAATAAGTAAAGAAAGGAAAGAATAATAGTAATAAAAGAAGAAAAAAAATTTTATTGTTGCAGGTAGTTTGGCGCTCGTCGTATTTGAGTAACGGATCCAACCGTGGACGGCAGACATGTCGCTCGGCCAGGTGCAGCTCGTGAGGTGGAGCCTACCGGCGCTCGCTCTGATTCTTGGTCTTTTATGGTACAAACGTCGACGCGTGGATCGAGTTGATCCAGGTGGGCCCACCGCTCCGACGAGCTCCCCCAAAGCTGACAAAGCCTCGTCCGTCAAACTGAACGCCGTCGAGCCCGTCAAGCCAAACACCATTCCAGCCTCGGCGGTCAAACAGTGCGACTCTGGCATCCACAGCGACGATTCTCTCAACACCAGTGGCGACTCACCCGTTAGTAGCACCAGCAGCCTTACCCCCCGCAAGGTCAGCGAGAGTCTCGACATACCCGGCAGATCGTCGTCCAGTCTTGCCCAACCGTCGGTATCAGTAGCTGCGTTCTCGCAGGTGCCCTGGTACGAGGACGAAGAGGAGGTCCAGGAAGAAGAAGAGGTGGTCAAAGTGGAGCAGAACCACTCTCTCTTGTCTAAGAGCCGCTCCTCGGCTGAGCTCATAGCGAACGGCATTGCCATGAAGGAGAGCAAGCGAGAGCAGAAACGTCAGCAGAGGCAGGCCAAGATCGTCGTTGCCAATGGCACGCCCCAGCTCCAGGAGTTCGACCGAACCCCCGACCTTGTCGAGGCTTCTCCTCTTCCTCCTCCTGTTGTTGATGCCGTTGCCGACGATCCGCCGGCAGTAATCGAGGATCAACCGTTGACCAACAACAAGAACCATGACAAGGAGAGCCAGCAGCCGACGGACAACGAGAGTCAGACCAGCAGCAACAGCGAGCAGCCGGCGAGCACGACTCAGAATAGCCAAGTCCTGTCGGAGAGGGATTCGGCGAATCACAGTCCCGTTTCTGCTGTCCTCGAAGGTAGCGTCACCGACGAGGCCAGGAGCGAAGGCGAAGGCGAAGGCAGCACCGACAGCGGAAACGGTATGATTATTTTGACAGCACTGTCGTAGGTAAAGTAAAATTAAAAGCGGATGGTTTGATTGAATGGGTGCGTTGAAATCGTAGGTGGTAGCATCAACGGTGGCCGCAGCAGGGAGGACAACAGCCGCACTTTCTATGAGTTCTTGATCCCGACGAAGCTCGTAGGTAAACTCATAGGCCGCGGGGGTCGTTTCCTTGAGCACGTGCGCAACGAGGCTGACGTGAAACTGGCGGTAAAGCGCCATCAGACCGATCGCGACTACCAGCTCTGCACTATAGACGGCACACCCGAGAACATCACCGTCGCCCTCGACATCATCCGCAGACACTTTCCCGAGAAGACATATCCATACCTTACCCTCGAACAGATCGTCTACGACGAGATAGTCGTTCCAAATGAGATCGCCTGGATGCCGGAGCTTATTCAGCTGTCGCTCGTCGAAGGCGTCAACAACGATGTGTTTGTGTGTCAAATCGTCACGCCGAACCATTTCTTCATCCAGCTGCACACCCATCCGACTTACCCGTCCCTGCGGATTCTCACGCAGAGGATGACCCAAGAGTACAATACGGTCGAGTCGCCATTGGTGCCCGAGCCGCTTACCAGTGAGTTCTTGCTTGCTATTATTTTTCTATTTTGTCAATGTTAGTACGGCTTTAAATGATGCTCTTTGATGAAAGTAGTGGACTGACGATCCTTTGAAGATAACTTTTTTTTACAACTGATAAAGCCATCAGCACTCAGAATAGTGTGTTTTTTCTTACCCAATGCTTGTAAATCCAAAACCGAAACCATCTTTTTATCCAATTGCAGAGGGCATGATTGTGGCGGCCAAATTTTTCGACCAATGGATGAGAGTTTGTATTGAGGAGCCAGACCCACAAAAAGAGCAAACCTTGGTTCGTCTAGTTGATCATGGTGGTTATTACACGTGTAGCAATGCAGATATGAGGTCTCTCCGGTTAGACTACCTCTGTCTGCCTTTCCAAGCAATCGAAGTATACTTGGCTAATGTACAACCAAAAGGTGGTACTAATTTTCTTCTTGCATCTTTAGTATTTTTCTTTTTCTATTTATGTATTTATTATTTTATTTAACTTTTCAGGAGAATGGACGCAAGAAGCGTTTGACGTGGTATCACAACTCACCAGTAGCAGAGTAGGCCAAGCACAAATAGTAGGCTATGATGAATTCAACACATATATCAATTTGTACTACAATATTCACAGACTCGGTGTAAGTATTAATATTTATATTTAATTTTTATGATTCGTTTTGATAAATCAATACAAATGATGCTTTATTTTTGATGAAAGTAGTGAACTGAAAACCACTTGAGAGATAACTAATTACACTGAACAAAATTTAATGATTTAACTGCGAGGTATTTTGTAATTCAAACATTTTAACAAGAAAATATCACATTTTGTTTCAGTTCCTTTCCGTAGCTGAGGAACTGAAAGCTCGAGGTTTAGCTGTAGAAACGCCTGTTATAGAAGAGGTAATATCACAGGAAGTATTGCCCACTGCGTGAAAATCTAAAAATCGAAAACCAAGCGATCGTCTTTGTTTGCGTTTTTGATGGAAGAATCTACAAGAATAAAAATAGATGTGTGACATTATGCGTGTGAGTGAACGAATCATTACTGTTGATGAGTAAGTGAAAGAAAAAAAATGAGATATTTTTTTTGTGATTTATACGTTTCTAAATAATTTGTAAAGGTATGTTTACGTTAGCTAAACTCTTGTTAATAGTTGAAACATGAAAAATAATGTCCTATTGTTTTGACGCATTTTTCAGACCCATTGCTCGGACGCAATTATAGATGATTTATTATTGCATTTCCACAAATGCCGCATTTTTTTGCCTTTATTTAATATTTTTTTTTTATTACAAAAAATTGAGAAAAAATCATTAAAAAAAAAAAAAAAAATCTTCAAACTGATCATTACTTACGTTCTGTAGATTCAGGACATATTTAGTGTAAATATACGTAAGTGAAACGGAATTATAGTTTTAAAAAATGAGCTGCTGTTGCTTGTAAAGAAAAAATTTTTGATGTGATAAGCAGTGAAATTTTTTTAGATCAATGTAGTTAAAACATAATCTTAAAATAATTATTTTTGAAGTTCAATGTGATCCTATTATCTTTCAGTTGTAAGCTGACTACATTTTATTATTCCATTCAACCCCGATTTTCATACAGTGATTGTGCTATCATATTGTAGACGTTTAAAAGCTGTTTAAGTTATCTAATGCTGTTATTATCATATTTTTTTTCTTATCGTGAAAAATTTTAGTTGTAACATAGTTATGATGATAAAAACAAATTACTTTTTTATGTAATGTTACAGTATTCGTAACAAAAATGTTTATTTCAAGAAATTAAAAGGTTTGTTGTAACACATTGATTTATAAAAATAGTTTTCACATCAGAATTTCCTAAAGTGGTTCTTGTCTATTTAAAAAAACGTGGCAAATTTTTTAATTTATTGTTCCATTAACATCATATCTGTAATAGATTACTTGTCACGTTTGCAGTCGATTACTATGATACATTATAATGTTTTTTTTTCGTATTAGCTGATAAATTATTAATTATAGAACGGGTCAAATTATACCTATTATAGTTTCCAATCTTACTTTTTCATAATTAAATACGTGTCCTTATATGTTAGCGTATAAGTAAAATTACTATAGTCCGATATTTTTTACTATCTTTAATAAAACAAAAAAAAACTCTGATTGCTGTCCTTATAGTAAATTAAATTTTTCAAAACTATTGAACAATTAAAAATGATTGAAAAAGTTTAGGCGTTAAATGTTAATTTCTTCATAAAAATGAACAAAGTTGTAAGTATTTTTTTTTCATCATATTCGGTGAATAGTACAAATTACATTAAATACAACTCTTTTATCATAAATCTGTACTACGTAAAACTATTTTTCGAAACAACGAGTCCACAGTCATGATTCATAGTTAAATAATCCGACTATGAATTTATTTGAAAATAAAATCAAACTAGTTAAAATGCTTTTGTAATAGTACAATTCAGAGTAACGAATAACTGCAAACGATAGAGACAAGTTAAATAGTGGATTTGTGCTAGCGGGGTATTGAAGGTAATCCTTCAAATAGAGTTAATTTACTAAAATTTTGAGCAGGCTGAGTTTCACCCCTATTGTAAATATTGTAACAATAATCATCCCTTTGACTATTATTGTATTTATAATATAACTGAAAAGAAATAATCATAGTTATATCAAATAGTTAATAGCTTTGTGCGTTAAATAGTATGATGAGCACTTTGTTCTGCAGGAGGGTATTACTTTTTGACAACAGACATCTATTTACTTAAAAAAAAAAAAAAAATGAGAAAAAAAAGTTCTTCTGACTGTTAAAAATAACATAATACAAGGCTGATACAACAAATCAAAGATTTCAATTTCACTATGACAAAAGTAATTTTGCAAATAAAATAAATTAGGTTTCATGAATGCTGGGTACAGTCAAAATGAGTGATATAAAAGTTATGCAATATAAGAGCTTGTTAATGAATAATGAAAGCCATGAAAAATCAAATTCTTTTAATCTGATTTTTTAGCAACAATCATCTATGTACAGTATCAATAGCCTTATGTAAATCTGCCAATCAAGGTCGACAAAATTATAAAATAAAAAAAAAAAAAAACTTACAGCAAGTCTGTTTAACTGAGCGAAATCGTTAAAAATGTTTACATTTTACAATTAAAATTTGATTTTGAATCAATGAACTGGTTTCGTACTACTTTTCCATATTTATACAATGTAAAAAAATTGAAAAATTGAGAAAAAACTTTTTTAAAGAATTTATATTGTATTTGTACTGTGCTGAAGCGATTTTTCTACGACGCAAAAAATGTTAAAACTTCACAACTGCATAAAAATCATTGTTATTGCGTAATAATTATAATAATAATGATTATGATAATAATAATAGGAATATGTAATATTTTTGTAGATGCATCCAAGTCTGGCGAGATGTACAATTCGCACTGCTTGTTTTATTCGATTGTATTAGTTTAGGAATGGCAACTTTGTAAAATATTTTCTCTATACCGGATGGTGTCAAATTTCGAAATTATCAAAGACAAAACACGAATGCTTGAATTTGTTTCCACTTCCGTACGAAAACAAAGAAATTACAATTATTGGATTCTAATGAACCTAACGTGCAAAATTCGTAGGTTTTGTCACTTGAGCGTCATCGCCACCGGGGTTATTTTTCTACCCGAGGGACTGCAAAGCAGGGCGCTTGGATGGCGCTCATATGGCTAACGCTATTTTTCCTACCGAGGGTGCAGTAAACGTCTTAATGCCAATGGCACGAAAAACGCCCCTTGGTAGGAAAAAATATTATCGACGAAAAAAATTTCTAAAGTTGCCATTTCTATGTAAGTACATTATTTTTCAGCTGTACGAAATCGTATGATCGCGCAATTTTTCGCCTTTTACTGCGAGTTAAAAAAATTATTGTTATCAAACAACAGGCTAAATTTCGATGAAAAAATTTTTTATTTGTTAAAACATAAATTATTATTGCTACTATTACGAGATTGATTACTATTATTTGTATGTAAATACTTAGTACCTAAAAGAGTAGAATCGTCCCTGATGATACCCAGCTCGTTCAAAAATATCCAGAAATTTTCGAAAATATTTTTTTCCTTATAATCGCATTTAAAGAAATTTTGAAGTTTTGTATGGATACATAATATGTAATCTTTGGAGTTTTCATTAAAGTTATCGTTTTAATTTAAACAAAAATACATGATCTTACTTTTTCCCATCCATAAAAGAACACATCCTATCATATTTTGATTAAAAACAGCGCAGAGGAATGACACATAAGCTCTTCCACGAATCTTCTTCATCCTCTACTCGTACGTACCTACGTAAAAACATACTTATGATGCATGCAAAAACACTTCATCAACCATAAATTTTTTCCCAACTCCAATGTGTGTGTGTGTGTGTGGTAGCCCTGCTAAGTCCTGCCATATTTTTTTAGAGAGAGCAGTGCGCAATAATTAAATGGTAATGCTGTTTTTCTCATTGCTGCTTGAAGTCATACTTGCCGGCAAATATTATTTTTATTTCACGTAATGTTTTTTTACATCCTAATATAAGGGAACACCTGATACTACAATGGACCGAGTAGGTAAGGATGTGAAGTCACCTGTGTTGATGCCAGTTTTATTGAGTGCCGTTGCCATTCCTGTTTCCATGCTTTTTTGGACCATTAATGTTATTTACACATTCGTTAATCCCACTGTTAATGAACACGTTGATGGTGAGTTTGATTATTAACGTAGGCATGTTTTACCTACCTATTTATTTATTTTTTTTTTTTTTAACGACTACTAGGGTTAGTTTTTTTAGCAGTAAACCTGTGGTTTTATCATGATGAGGAGTTTAAACAGATGGTTTTGTTTGAGTGAGCCTATTAGTTTTTATAACAATCTTAGTATTTTATCAATTAAGATTGTTACGCGTTATTGAGAAAAGTTTTTATGATAAACGTCAAAGGTTAACCTGCATAATGAAATTTTTGTTGAGGTATTTACGTACATAACTACAGAAGTGTCAAATCACGTATTTATACTTATTTACATTAATTTTTAAATTATTCAATATACTTACACACAGTAAAAATATTTACAAATTTTTTAAGCTGTAACGAATATTATTTGAACATTTCACTTGATTATGATTTCGAAAGTAATATTTTTTAACTCTGAAATACCTCTGTAAAAAGTTAATTGATCTTTTTTTTTAATTAACATTCATCTCCATGTATCCATGGATTTATATATCATTTATCCTGGCAGTACAGTAGGATTCACAAGTGGCATTGACAAATATTTATATCGTGCTGTTGGGTTTTTCTTATCATGAAATGTATTGTCACTGTCTCATGATGAGTATAAAAATAACTTCATTATAAAGGTCGTTATCAAATACGTGGAATTACGTAATAATTTTTTTGACAGAAAACGTTACAGTACACAAAAAAATTACTCACGGCTTTGCTTATTAAAAAAACAACTTGAACGCTAAAATTTATTACTTTCTTCTAAATAGTATAAGCCATTTTAAATTATTTGTCATCCTGTATTTATTTTTCAACCAATGAATACATACTTAGAAGGACACAACGTTATATCGCCATGGAGATGGCTTGCAGCAGTGGTTATTCCACTGTTATGTGCACTATATGGAATAAAGAAAAAATCTATAGACCTGAAAGGATCTATCCTTGGTAAGCTTATAAAAATGAAGCACATAAGTACAAAGTATTTAGGATTTCAATTTTATCTTTATTTTTGTTTCAATTTTAAGGTTTTCTGATAGGTTTCATCATGACACTAACAAGTTTTGCTCACATAGCATGTCTACTTGTCTTCTTTCTTTCTTCTTCAAAGGCTACAAAATTTATGATTCACAAAAAAAAAGAAATTGAAGAACTTGCATCAGGGACCAGGAGAAATTGGATCCAAGTCGCTTGCAATGGTGGAATGGCCATGCAGTTGGCTCTTTTATATTTATTAGATGTCGGCTGTGGAGAACGTCCCATTGATTTTGATAAGTATTACAGAAGTTCATGGTTGTCCGTTGCAATAATGGGTAGTACTTACGAGTGATATATCTATTAGCTATAAAACAATTCCACGACCAAATCATTTTTTTTATGTCATTTCAGGCTCTATAGCTTGCTGTAATGGAGACACGTGGGCTTCTGAAATCGGTACAGTTGTTGGACAATCAGATCCTTTGCTCATTACAACAAGAAATAAAGTACCAAGAGGTAAATACTTGCTTTGCATTGATGAATTATGTTCAAGTATTATTTTCAAAATTTTGAATTTTCATCTGTAAATTTTAGGGACTAATGGTGCAGTTTCCTTGGTTGGTCTGATTGTGTCTGCACTGGGTGGTCTTTTAATAGGTTTAACGCATTATGTGGCCTTACTTTATACAGTCGACAGTGCTGTTCTTGAAACGTCGGCACCACAGTGGCCTATTATACTTCTAGGATTAATTGGTGGCTTATTGGGAAGCATTGTGGATTCTATTTTGGGAGCGACGCTTCAATATTCAGGTACTTATACTCTTACCGGTGGCTCTTGAAGTTTTCCAACATAAGGCATTGATTTTAAAATTTTACGCATTTTCAGGAATAAATGAAAAAGGAAAAATTGTTGAAAGACCAGGAAAAGGTGTGAAACACATAAGCGGCCGACAAATTCTCGATAATCACAGTGTCAATCTTCTCTCCAGCATTATCATAGCTTTGATTCTTCCGAGAATAGCAAACTGCATATGGCCTTGAAAAACTGTTTTTTGTAATAAAAAAAAAAAAAACTAAGAGTGATATAATTGCATTTACATAATATATGGCTGGCCATTGGACAGTTATGAAAGTATCACGTATGGAAATTATGAACTGATTGATATTAAAGTAATAATATTTTTTTATACCAACAGACTGTGTAAATAATAATTTTATTATCGGCAGTAAACTTAAGCATATGGCTAGGCGACAAAGCTGTGTGTTGAGAAATTGTATATGTATAAAAAAAAAAAAAAATACTATCGATTTGACAGTTTATTTTTATATCATTGTTATTATTATACATCAAAAGTTGTCACTAAAATTTTATACCCACCAGTATTCATATGTCTTTTTATTGTATAGCCTTGAAAAAATATTGTACGAGATGTTAATGGCATGTCCCAAACCATCGCATTTGGATCTTATCTTATTAAATTTTTATAAGACCATTAACAAGAATTGTTGCTGGTGTTAATTATTCTACAATAACTCGGTCAATCCATGAGATTATACCTGCAAGATAGGCAAGGTAAAAAAACCGCAATTTCTTTTGCTTCACATACTTAAGTTTTATCATTTTTTTATACAAAGGTTTTTCGTTATGTACAAATTTTCATTTCTCCCATTCATCCATTGCATCGTCGAAACCTTAATATTATATACAACAATAGTAATCAGTTTCATCACTTTTTTGTGCACGAGTAACTTTTAAAATATCATCTTGGAAAAACGCTTCTTAACGTCTATACTAGGCGAGCTGTTAATTGTTTAATTTGCGAAAATACATCGAACGTGTGTTTATATATATTTACGTGGATATTCGTTGACTATACGATCTTTGCAGAATTTTACTGAAACGCATTAGATAAAGAAAGATTGAGATTCTCTAGGAAACTTTTTTATATCGTCGCACTTGAGCCTGAGAGTAATCACGCAAAGGACTTTGATTCTGATACTTCAGGTACGCAAATCCTTTTTTTTTTTTTTTTTTTTTTTTTTTTTTCTTAACAGCAAATGTACGTGTTATCTTAATAAATAAGTTAAGTAAATAAACGCTTTTCAGGTGCTTAACAGTGTTATTTTTTTATACACATATACGATTTTTATTAAAAATATTTTCATTATTTACAGACAAATTAACATTTTTCTTTCTTCAAATAAATAATTTAATTTAGTACGAAATCCTATATATTAAATTTTCCATTTTCTGTACAATAAAAGAAATACTAATATTCATGCATAATATGAATTGGAGAGTAAAAATAAAGTTATTACGTGAATTAAAAATTACATTTTTCAATTGGTAATCCAGTAAAAATAAACATAAGTGGGTATTTTTTCAAGTACTTATGGAAATTATGTTTGCATAGTACAACAAACGAATCTTCATTTTGTACAAAAAAGCTATTTATGTATATATGTACATACATCATTTATATATTTATTAATAATAAAGAGTGTGTGTTGGGGTATATTTAAGTGATTCGTTTTCCCCATTTAAATGTAAATAAATTATCTTTTTTTTTTCTTTTAGCAAGAGCTTAATATCATTACTTTTTCCAGTTACATTAGTTACATAATTATGGATAATGTTTTTTGATTAAAATTAAAAAATTTATTTCCATGATAGAAATATTTCATTTTCCATTGCACCTAAGTATGAAAATTTGATTTTTCAAAATTATCCAACTGAAGTATCATTCATTTACAGTACATACTTAATACGAATAATAATTATGTAGTATAGCAGTAAAGATTCATTTTTGTATGTGGTATTATACAATTTATTAAGAATACCTTATTATAGTTACACTTAACTGTGTATTTTTGTCATCTCAACAAATTTTTAAGTTTTTCTCATAACTTCATTTTTGTCACCTTGAACGTAATAATATTTTTATGCATATGATGTATTAATTTTTTTAAAGTATTTGTTTTTCAACTTGTGATATCAACGCTGTTAAAATATCTTGGCATACAAATAAATGGTAAATAATTATTTTGTGATTAAAAATAACATTTTCAGCGACTCAATGCTCGCATGCATATATATACATATAAGAGATGATTCGTTCGATCAACCACTGACTATTTGGCAGTCATCAGAACAACGACACTTGTTGGAAATTGTTATACTTATACATAATAACTATACAATTTTTATACTTGTGAAATAACAAAATATGTCTTTTAGTAATAAAATATAATATGCATGATTTGAATTACATGTGAAAAAAGTTATTGATAATGTGTACTTGTAAAAATTTTTTAATTTAAAGTAACATAAAAGAGACCGTACTTCTGTACGATTAATTATGCTTTGGATGAATGAACGTTTTTTATGTAAAAATTTACTGTACAAACAAAAATTTTTTTTTTATTAATAGTCCTGAAAATACAGCAACAATTAAAAATATTAATAAAAAAATGTTTAGCATAATTGTAACACTATTAACTTTAACAATCATTACAATTGTTTATTTTCGCGTTACAAAAAAGTTATTTCGTAATTTTTAACCTTACAACGGTAATTTTTTTACATTTTCTACATCATCTTATTATTAAACCTTTAAAAAATAATTATCAGTAAAAGTAATTAATAAAAAACAATTAAATTTTTTTTAAAACATAAGACATAAATTTTTCTCACTCTAAGACGTTAAAAGAAACATACGAAAAGTGAAATCCCCGAGGTAACAAGCTTTAACGGACGGCACTACCGCGACATAAAATAAAAGTAGCGAAAATCTCATTTTAAAAAGCTTATTTCACAGTAATGTAATTGAAAACGCATAATGTTATTGTTAAACGTAGAAAAATTCTCTTTTTAAATTAATGCGACTTTATCCAAAAATTAAAATATCGCGCTAATTTCAGTTCTTGCAAAGTATAAAGATAACATTTAAAATTCAGCAAATTCCCCAATTTCAAGGGAAACACGGTAAAATGCAAATTCGAAAGTGTCAACTTTTTTTTGCCCTTCTCTCGAGGCTTTGGTTTAATTGGAAAAGCAGCGCCAGCTCTAAATGTTGAATTTTATAAGACTTTGAATCCATAGAAACGTCCGAAAGGACTTTTTTCACGTTTTTCTGATCGCGCAGTCATGGAATTTTTCACCCCATCTCAGCTGCACCACACACTACTTATTGGTCAATTTTTAACTCTTGCAATGCATCCGCAAACGTTTGCGGTGAACTTGACTTGGCTTTCTCGAGCGTCAACGAACAGCTTGAAAAAGTAGCGCGCACCATTTTTTTCGTGAAAAAAAAAAAAAAGAATGTAACATGTGTAAGTATATACTTTTCAAACCGATCAGCAAAGGAATTCTTGAACTCTTAAGAATAATCCTACGATGAACCGCTTTTATACCGTGAATTCGAGAGTGGGGTGACACCCCCCTGAATAAATAAATAAACACCGACAAACGATCGAATCAGTCTCTTAATTATTATATACATATACACTATCTTACACGTATAGACGCGTTAGCACTGCGACTGTTTGCTGTTGTTTGTGCAAGTAAAATCGTGGTTGTTGTTGTTGTTGTTGTTGTTGTTGTTGTTTCCATTGCTATCATTCCGTCGGAGCAACCTGCAGGGATTGTTGTTGTTGTTGTTGTGATTGGGCCCGTTGCTGCAATTGCTATTGAGTAGAAGCACGGGCTCGTTGGAGAAGGAAACGATAGTCAACCTGTGCTCGTCGCCGGTAGTCGTAACCGGTTCACCGGCTCCCACACCGGCGTCGGCCACCATGATATCTCCATTATCGATAAATCGGTCGTGGTTCTGCTGGTGATGGTGATAGGTAGGCTGGTGGTGATGGTGATGTGGCTGGTGGTGCTTGGTATCGCCTTTGGGCTCCGCCGACGGCGCTGATTGGTAGTCATACCTTCTCCTCCCCGGACAGCGGACCTGCAGTCGAGCGGACAAACTGCAACAGGATTCACAATGGACTCGACTTGGACGGCTGCCAGTGGCACGATGCGGACGCAGTGGATGGACCACGTGTTTGAACCCTCTTATTTATTTTTTTTTTTTTCCAAAGCAATTCAACGACAACGGATCTTATGTTGGCTTTTATTTAAAAGTTTACGCGCTATCCACCCTGACAATAATTACAGTCGGTGCAATATTAGTGGCAGATTATTTTCATAGCGAGCTTTTCCTCGAGAACAGTCTCTGAGTGAAATAAAAAATCCCATAACACGCATTGGCGGCTGTCGAATCATTTGTTTCAAAAGTGCCTTTCTGATACGTGTTCGTAAACTGTCAAACTGCCATGTGCAACCACGTGACGTGAATGTGCTCGATAAGCAAAGTACCTATATGTAATATAATTTTGTCGCGAGACACGTGTGTCACTTTTATCTCCAATAAAGTGTAAATATAAATATGATAATGCGTAACACAACAAAATACATCGAGATACACGGATATTTTTTGGTAACGTCTATGCTGAGCATAGGTATAATACACGTCCGCATCGCACCATTGACGAGTCGCGATGCGACATCGATGTATATATGTATATGTATAAACCTCGTATAGCTTGAAAGTTCGGAGGAGCGTGTGGTTATTGCGTTGTTTTGTTGCTTAGCGATGCGTGTGTGATAAGCGATGAATAAAAATATACGCACGTGCTCGATTTTTTTTTTTTTTTTACCACATACATAAGTACGTGTCAAAGGTATTGTTGTGGTAATTTTGAAATTTATGTATGTAAAAAAGAAAAAATTTGAATAACAGTACACTATTGTGTGATCGAATCGGTAAATCTATTTCTAATGGTGATTCGATGATTCATCAATTTGTAAATTCCGACAACAGAAAAAACTACTCGCACTATCGATTGACATTAAAGAATTTTATTAAACAAAAAAAGAATAGATCACATTTATGATTTAGTTAATACACAATCAGTAAATTACTTACAATGGCATCTACGTTGCGATGGTTCTTTTTGTGTTCAATTTTTTCAATACAAATTAATATTTAAAAAGTTGTAAAAACCAAAATATATATTGATGAGCTAAGTACAGAGTTGCCCATAGCCATTCGCTAATTCGACCAAGTCCAGAAAAGCATAGCAGAGAGATAGCAGATAGAGAGATAATGCAAGACAGAAGCAATTTTTTTTTTTTCATTTATGCGTGATCCCACCCAACAGCGACAGACGCTCTAACTATAAAGGCAAACAAAAAAAAAAAAAGATTGAAACGATAGATTAGTAATCCATGTACCATAAACTTTGTGCGTGACATGAAAAAAGTGTGCAGCGAAAGAGCAGAGTGGGCGTGTGTATGGGAAAAAAGTTAAAATGGACCGATGAGACGGTGGCGAAAAGGTGCAATGATGGGTCGAAAGTTGTTCGTTTTACCGATACAGTGGTTGCCGTGCAGGAGTTGGCTCGGTTGCGGGCAAACGCCGTGCCCTCCCATTTTCGCTTGAATTGCGCTATCACCTGTAATTTAAAAGTTGAACATTCACCCAAAGAACATTCTATGCGTATACAGTCGAGTTGCCGTCACAGGATACAAACGTGTGAAACAATAAAAACTTACCTCGCCGTTACAGAAGCAGAAGAGAATCGCTACGCAGAGTCCCTGAAAAATTTATTTTGCCAAGTTTAAATATTTATTTTTTAACGACGGCCCAAGTTTCCTCTATTTTTTATCAAGCCGTACACCTTGGAAATATCGCTCGTTATAATTGAACTTCAGATAAACAAGGAATTATACTTTTTTCAATAAAAAAAAGGATGGGTAGGTAATCATTTTTACGACCAAGCTAGTGTACATAGGTATGAAAAAAAAAAAAAAAAAAAAAACCCAATGTTCCAGCAAAGAAAAAAAAAAAAATAAACGATATGCATGAGATTAACGGCGCAAAAAAGGGGTTGAAATCTCGGCCCCTTGGCATTTATAAAAGGAATGGCGATGTAGGGGTTGTAAAACGCTTATACCTGAAAGGAAGCCGTGATGGCCGAGACGATGCCGTAAGCTCGTTCCCAGGGGTGTCCTTTTCCCGGGCGAAACGGGATGACCAGGTAGTGCAGGCCCAACAGTGGCACCAGCAACAGCGTCGCCCTGTCGACGAACCACATATAAATATAATTATACACATAAACGCCTCTGTGCCTGCTAGAGGGGCCATTTATCCCACATTTGTCACACACATATTGTACCTGAACGCTTGGAGTATCGAGCGCGAGGGTTGAGTCCCGATGGCAGGTCCGGCGCGTAGTTTGGTCAACAGCACGCGCACGATGTTGCAGAGGAAGAGCAGATTCAGGAGCGTCGACACGGTCACCGGGTACACCAGCACGTTCATGTAGTTGCCCTCGTTGATCCAGCATCTGTGGTACGAGCGAAGTAAAGGGAGAGCAAGAAATCTTATTTTATTTTATTATCATTGTTTTGTTTTGTTTGTAATATATACTTGGGAGGGTAAATAGCGACTTTATTGCGCATCGAGGGCCATTATAACGCAGCGATAGAGTACACGCGTCGTGGGACGTTATTGTTTTTCGGGGTAGAGAAAGAGAGAGTCGAAGGGGGGTTAATAAGCTAGATTTTCGAGATGGGGGGGGGGAGGAGGAGGAATTTACGAGCGATTTTATTCGGCTGGATAAATGGCTTTGAATAACTCATTTATGTACCACGAGAAGGGCGATCGGGTGAGGCGCGCATCGGGAATTTTATTGCCCTTCGTGGCGACGATTGTAATGATGATAAAATATTTTTGTTTTTTTTTTTGTTTGTTTTCGTTTTCTCGAAGAAGCAAGAGGTGTGACTGTAAAAAAAGGATTGAGTACTCGCTTTGTACCTGTGCCATTAGGCTGTAAGGGACCAACCAGTCCACAACCTTCTCCTCTTCCATAGATGGACGCAACTCGATTTACTCGCGACCTTTTGGTACACAGGGGCGCGATCGGGCACTTTCGTTTATGTACATATTCATACGCGTACATACGAGTGGGGACGCCCATACATGCGCGCGATATCGATAAAATTGTTGTAGCAGCTAAAGCTGAAATTTCGTTTGGTGTTTTTAATCTTCGGGACGCCCAAGCAAACGAATTTTTATTTTTCCCTCGGCTGCACTCGAGCACTATACTTAATGACGACGAGGCTTACGACGCGATCGGTAGATGTGTATACCTACACGCGTTGAAAAGTTAGACGTGTAAGGGTATGAGCGTGGTCTTACTGTAGCTGGTCGGTGGGATCGTCGCTGCTGGCCCTGAGGGTGCCGTAGACGGTGACGATGACGGCGGGTATGCTCCAGCCGAGGCCCATCAGCCACTTGACCAGCCTGTGCTCGCTCGTGAAGGCGCTGACCAGCAAAGTGTGCAGGTAGAAGCCCTCGCAGAGCATCCACGCGTAGTTCGTCAGCAGAAAGTAGTTGAGTATCACGTGCAGCAGCCGGCACATGTACTGACAATCGACAAGATTTTTTACCTTTTTTTAGGCATTTTTTTATCAGCTCGCGACGAAGGACGAGTCTTGAGGAACTATTACTTCCCGAGCCAACGTTACGCGCTTTTGTTTCGAGCCTACGTTGCGTGTCACGTGACTAAATCGCATTTAACTCGTATGAATAATGAAGGTGCTAGTTTGCCAAGTGTTGGGAAACTTCGTTGTTACGGTTGGAGCTTATGGGCACGCTTGATTGCCGGCGAATATTGATATTTGCGTGCTTAATCGTTAACATAAATAAGGAAGCAAAAAAAAAAAGTAATCTTAGGGGTCTCGAAATAAATTGAACGTTTTCTAGCAAAAAACATTAAATAACTAAAAAAAAAAAAGTCCTACAAGGTATTTGTTTCCTCCAGCATTGTAGAATTTATCAACATGATGTGGGTATACCGCTAGATGTAAGCATCGTTGTTAGAAAAAAAAAAAAAAAAAAGCTCTATAGCTCATTAAAAAAGACAATCGCTGACTATCAATTAACATTGCGAGTGAAATATACGAGGCGAGTGCAAGATGTACGTGATAAGCAATCGATGGATACTCACGCCGTTCTTGATGAGGAGTTCGGCGTTGCCGATCACCGAGCCGTACCATATGAGCCAGAGCGCGTTGTTGACCGCGAACGAGGCGAACAGGTTCATGTGCAACGTTATTCTCGCGCATCTGAGTGTTCTGCAAATCACAGTTCTAATTACCATCACTGGCCATCATCAGCACACCACTCGACAGTTACACGAGACTCACGCACCGTCGCGGGCGTACGCAGCCGATCGTCTCAAAGATCGAGCTTGGGACTTGCACATATTTTTCATTACATTGACAAAAATTAAATTTTACTTTTTGCGTTTAACTTTCTTTTTGTTTTGACGAGTGAGAACATCGCGTTGCAAAGCTTCGACAGTCCGGGATATGACTAAGTACTCGACCAAAGTGCAGCGAAACTACGCATCATTTTATGGCGCATCGGCTTACCTGAAGTACGTGAGGATTCCGAGGGACACGAGCAGCGCGACGAGGGATATCGTGTAGCCGGTCTCATACAGGACGTTCAGCTGCTGTTGCCACTGAAATCAATAGGTAAAAAAATATCGATGTCCAGAGTATTGAATGACATTGAAATATTAAAATGTCTTTTAAATCGTTCAAACTGGAACAATAACCGAGTATGCTACGAGTTTTTCGAATCGATAGAAAAAAAAAGAGGTACAATCGCGTACAAGTACGTATAGGAATACCCCCGTTTCACGAGAAAAAGAGCAGCAGGTGCATTAGGTCTGTCGAAAGGAGAAAAAAAAAAAAAAAGTAGTGTACATTGAGTCAACGATTGCTTCGCTTCGTCGAAATACGAGTACAGAGCCCAGAGCTTTCGGGCATTATGAGCCTCGGTAGAGGTACCATCCACGTCACGGATGCGCACAATAGCCGCAGCTTCGTGCAAGACTCGACAAATAATTCCCGCGAGAGAACTTGTCTCCGGCGCGCGATTATCGATGTCTCGGGGTCACGAAACAATTTTTTTTTTTTTTTTTTTTCTCTTGAAGATAGTTCACCGTGTGTGTCCTCATCAGCTACATTTTACTGAGAGATCGACTGGAGTAGCGTTAATTCCACAGGTAACAGTTGGATTAGCCAAGTTTTCAAGATTTTGTTTTTCGAGGGAGTGTAATCATTTGCAACTTCCATCACAGCTGAGCGGTCGATCGAAGCGAAAAAAAAGTTTGGCCAACGGTGGAACGGACAAAGTTTGACTCTGATTAGAGGAGCGAAGCTTATCGCGATGCGTGTAAAAAAGTGACGAGGGAACTTTTTTTTCTTTTTTTTTTCTTGTCGCTTTGGTTTTTGTTGCCCAAGCAATTAGTTGGATCTTTTTGAGAAAAAAAAAGGGGAAAAAAGAGGGTCTTCGGAGGATGGAGAAAGTTCTAAGTGATGGGCTTTTTGCGGAAAGTGTTGGTTGGCCAAAACTAATTATGGAAATTGGCGCGCAAGCTCCGACAGGCCATACAAGTGAGCTTAGCAGCAGAGATTTGGTGAAATTCGCACAGCCGAGCCCCTGATTTCGGGGACGGCTTATCCTTTCCAGACAGAGGGAGGCTTTGGGCGAGTGTCCAATACGGCTTTCCAGCTTTAATTCCGTTCGGATGGCTGTTTTCTCCTTCTACGCCTGTTGCTGCGTTAACTTTTACTCTCGCAACTCGAGTTGTGATCTCGTCTCTTCATTTTTTTTTTTTTTTTTTTTTTTTATAAATGTGTTGTTATTACGAAAAGGGAATTGGATCTTTTTGAAGGTAATCTTAAAGTTTGTTTGGTGAATGAAATACCAGTGGTCAGTACCTACAGCCTCGCAATAAGTTTACCCATTATAAAATTACTTGGCGAGAGCGAACGCGGACTTGCAAGTATTTAAACTAAACGATGGTGCGCGTATTTTTACGTCAAAGTCTACAATGAAGATTTTTTAAGTAGTCGATGTTAGCTGCTATGAAATAATTTTGATTGTAACATTGGGATGGTTATTTTCACGAAAAAAGAGTAGGTGTATATATACATGCTTTCAAGCAACTCGATCATTGGTTTTTTTTTTCCATCGATCTTTCATTAGCCACTTTTAGCGTTTGGGATTCGATAAACTTGGGGCATTTTTTTTATTTTTAACTTACGAGGAATTAGATCAAGAGCTCTTTGAAATACAAATTATAAAATTTCCGTGAATTAATTGAGTTATTTGACGCACATTGAAAAACCTTGACGGACAAAAACTTTTCTTATAAACTGCAAGATAATAATAGCAGTGCGAAGAACATGAATTTATCGCGGACAATTGTGAAAAAAAGATATTGATTAAATAATGGACCAGCCAATGATTTTGGTGACCGAAACACTAAAAAAACTAAACACGATTAACCCAGTTATTATATTGGTACACGCAAAACGTACACATCTAAAAAAACCATACATTGGATGCAGTAGTAGCTCAAAGTCGAGCGTCTCCGCAAGGACGAATGAAAATGTGCTTTTTCGCGCGCATTAACCTTGCATGTATTCGACTCGGGGAGGTATACGTACAAAGACGAAAAAAGGAGCGCACGTAATGTTGCGAAACCTGCAGCCGCAGCGCAGTTTGCGTGAATTATTTCCGTGACACATTGCCTGGTGTCAACGTCGAAGTCACTCCAGAAAAAAAACCTTACACGTGGGTAGTGTACCGGTAAACGTACTTCGAATTTCATTATGGAGGGAAAGCCTCGAAAAATCGAACAAAGTAAAGAGAGAAAAAAAAAATTGAGAGTACTTTTTTTGTTGCTATATTTCGCGCTTACAAAAACACATCATTCGTTGTATCTTCCATCACTTTTAGGTCCGATGAAAGCCAGAAACATAAAAACGTCCCTTTTTCAATTAAACCATCTCCCTCCCGTCGTCCTCGAGAATCGAAGCAGACCAAACACGCAGGGTACAATCGCATTACGCACCAATGACTCGGTGGATATATATATATAAGAAATATCTCGCAGCGCCTCCGTATGGCTCGGGAAAAAATTTCCGGGAGACCCGCAAGAAGAGAGTCGTCCTCCTCCTCCTTTTGCAGCCACTCAAGAGGGAGAGTCTCGGGGAATTAGAGCGCGCGGCGGAGTCGTTGTCTGGATGGGACACTCGAGTGGGAAAGGGAAACGAGAGAGTGAGACGTATACACGTATATTGGAAACAAAGCCCAGCTGAGAGAGTAATACAGAGAAAACGTCGGCGAGAGAGGGACCATTAAACCGAACGAGGAGAAAATAAAAGATAAGGGGGTGGGAGTGGGGGGTGAAAAAAGTCTCGAGGTCGTCACGTTTAGGGGGGGAGGGAAACATCGCAGTGGCGCTCTGGAAAGTAAAATATCTTCATTTGTAAGCGACACCGCGTAAAACTCCCACGCGAACGTTTCTTTATGGCTTAATTGTGCTACAAGGGGCTTTTGTTTTTCGGAGGATCCCTAACGAGATACGAGGGGGAACGTCACCGGGGAAGGATTAATTATTATTATTATTTTTTTTTTCGATCCGATTTACGGATTTGAGAGCAGATGAATGAGAAAAATAATGAAAAACGTGTCAGGGACTGATTGGATGAGCCTCGACCCAAGACTTTTAATGCAATTAAATGAATAACGATGAATGCATGTCTACAGCACGGCAATTTTCCAACAGATCAACTTGCAAGCCGGCAATCTGCTTATCGCCGGCAAAAAAAGGCACTCAAAGAATCCCACCTTCTAACCAGCAGCCCCGGAGCACCGTACATACGGTGGCAAAGGGGTTAGCGAAAAATAGCCGCAGATAAACGACCCGAGATAAAACCAAAATCAGCGAGTAAGCTCGTCCCGTGACGTTTCCTCCACCTCGGGATGGCAGCGCGTGCAGATCGATAGTGCAAAGTCATCGTGGCAGGGGCCATTTAATTTTCGCAGCTGTGTACACGCGCGCGCAAGGGAGGAGGGTGGGAGCTATTATCGTGATTATCGGTTCGTTAATGGCCAGAGTAGAGTAACGGGCAGCCTCGGACGACATTACCTGTGCTGCACTCGCGTGCGAACCCGCCGATACGTTAATTGACTTAACGTCCTGCCTATATGCCCCTACACTGTGCCATTTGTTCCCTAGGCTGTTATACACAGGTAAACAGGTGCACGTGAGGCTTTTTCCGAGCTAAACGTCTATTTTTAAGTTTCATTTTCTCTCGGCCCATTTTTCCATGGATAAGCTTTTTTTTTTTTTTTTGTTGACAATATTATACTCAAGATAAGAATTGAAGTTGGAATCAACGCGGACTTTACTTTTCTCCCGTGAGAAATTACTGATAAATTATACACCAAGTATACCCAAACACACGTGAAATCCAAGAATTTCCGTTCTTTATAGCGAGCGGCTTGATTTTGCATTTGACTCGTCAATTTTGCCATAGCCACGGTCCGCATCGCTTATTGGCTTTCACAAAACATTTCCCAACCCGCTCCGATGATAAACTTGGTCAAACAATTTTAATTTCGACCGGATGTTTCCCCAAATACTTCTCAGATCGGAATCTCCTTAAACGAGAGACGACTGTATAATTGAAAAAAAAACTTGTAACTTTACCCTCCGTTTGAGCTATTTATGCCCCCACCCCTTCGAAATCGAGGCTCAAACTTTGTCAATATCATACACCAGAGCCGGGGTATCTGCGGTTGCGTTTCTCTAACCGCAACCACCAAGTGACCATCAGAGAAGAGGTGAAATTCAGCTTCCAAACTATCACCGCCCAAACGCGTCTCAAGTGCTCGTCGGCAGGTTTGCAATGCCGATGCGAGGAAGAGCTTTTGATCTTTAATAGCCACGAGGAAAACTTGTTATACCCCCCCAAGAGCGACTGCCAGTAGTTCCCGAGTTTTATCAGACACGACTGTACGTACATGCTCTCTGGTCTCAGGAACTTGACGAATTTCACGGAACGAAAAGTTTCAAGATTAACCGAATCGTTATGTGCTGAGTTAGGCATTGGTGTGTATCTCCCCAGTTCTTCATTAAAGTTCAGAGTCCCTCGGTGAATCGGTAGACATACGTGGGTACATTAAAGTCTTCAACAAGAATAAATAGCCATCCAAGGTATGTAAAATGCAAAGCACACGAGTACATCATTACACGAGGACATGGAGTTTTATTAAAAAAACGAGACAAACTTTTGAGCTCGATTCACTCGGCAGGTTGCATGGGGTATATACATAATACAAGGGGATGGAGCACTCGACGCCAGCTGACTCTCGCGTAGCTCAGCGTGACGTTTTCTTTATTTGGACCGTGAAAAAAGTGAACAATACCTTGCCCGACGTATGGAACACAGCAGGGCTCCACTACCGGTGCGGCAGATGCTTACAGAGTACTATGAGAAACGGGAAAATGAGAAACAAGCCGTGCACAAGTACGGGTATGGATGGAGTTTTATTTCTGTGTACGGGAGCTTGAATTTTTTTCATACGAGTTCCTCGATATCTGCTAGAGACGCTTGGATGTAGTACACAGGTTTCCGATAGATTTCCGTTGTAGGAGAAGGGTACGATGTCGAGACGATCTTTTTGCGACGACTATTGTAAAAGGAACGTTGGAGGATGGGGGAATTGAGCTCAACAGGGGGTTACGAGGGGAGGCTGGTGCACTGCGATCGAACGATTTGTCGCGACGTTGAAGGTCTGGTGTAATCTTGGCATAAGCAGATTTTAAGTAGTCATGATCAGAATATGGTCAGGCGTAAGCTCTTTTTCTCGCTCAATTACGACTACTGTCTCGTAGAGAGTTAGTTAAAGGTGCCAAGTAGTTATGATCAATATACGCTCAGGTATACACTTTTTTTTTTTTAATTCCGATTATTGTGACATAAAATGGTTGTTCGAGAGTTTTAAGTAGTAATGATCAAGATACTGTCAGACGTTAATTTTTTGCTGGATTGCAATTTTTGTATCATATGTCCAGACACAGACCTTTTGACTCGACAGTGATTACTGTGTATTTTTTAAAAGTTATTTAAAGGCCTTGAGTAGTAACAGTCAGTTTATGGTCAGACACATGCTTTTTTTTATTGCTCAACAGCGATGCATGCATATTTTTAATGGTCTTTTGAAAATTTTCAATATTAGGTATCAGAATATTGTCAAACGTAGACTTATTTTGATTCTTATTATAATTATATATAACTATTGGGTATTTTAAGTAGTGAATATGAACGTATGGTCAGACGTGAAATTTTTTCCTTGTAACTGCTCTTATGCATTATCGTTAGTGATTATTTACCTAATAGTGCATTGTAACAGACAACAATTTTAATATTTTCCCACAGTTATGAAAAATAAGTTGATTATAAATTATAATTCTCAGGCAAAAAATACCGAGATAAAGGCGTAACGAGATATATACACAAATGCTTGCCTTCCCCTGTAGTAATATGCTTCTCCGTCAGTTTGAGCGTAAACATCGTTATCCTCGTGCTCTAATTACGAATTAAATCAAAGCCTAAATCTATCAACTTGCAAACAAACGTTTAATAATGTACAAAAGACGGATTAGATTCGAGGAATTTCGGCGAATCGATAGCAAATGAAGGCTTAAGCTATTCCAGCGGATATAGATGATATGCACCTCATTTATCAATGAAACGAATGCGCAAGGCTATGTGTGTAGTGCATTACGCATCACTCAAAGAGTTATATATGTATGGCGATGAAACGTAATTATCGTATGCTTCGCTAAATACATTAATTAATACTCTTGCGTTTGTAATGTAGTGTCTCCCTGTCTCAGTTAAAACGATTTCATGGTCACGTTCCCCAATGACAAACTGAACTGTTGATTCATTCGGGGTACGGTAAAACAAATTTATTTGTTGAATTTGCCAAAGTAATGTCGTTACTGTAATATTAACGAGTACGTGCATTTCTGGAGGACACTTGAGTCCTGAAGTAAACAAACCGAGGGAAACGAGAGAACGAAATGAAAACAAGTGAGACTGTGAGCTTGAGTCGAGAAAATGTATTGCAAGGAAAGTAATGAGATGCACGTGGAGAAAGAGATTCGCAGCGATGAGATTATTTTGAGAAAATTGTCGGGAGCCAAGTGGAACTCCTCCCTTTTTCCCTATCGCAAATGATACAGTTACTATAGCATCTTTTCAGTATAATTTAGATAATGCGATTTTTTTTTTTCAATCCGAGGACACTTGATGTATGCGACAACTTCTGAGAGCACTTGATTTTAGAAATGTAGTTTTTCTTGAAAAATCGAAGAAAAACGCAACTCGTCTGATCTGGATAATACTTGAAATGTTACAAGGGGATAAGTGCCTACGTAAGCAATATTTTCAAGTTTGTAAAACGTAAAATAAATGTTTTTCATTAACTTCTGAATGGCTTATACATTTTTTTTTAAGCTTTGTGAAGTACATGAGGCAAATCAAGTAAATAAGGTCACCAAGATACAGTGAATAGCCACTATGTTATTTATTGAAAAACATAAGTACTCACACTTAGATCTACCAAGTTGATGCACGTCGTGTAGTTGCTCCAAACTTTGTGAGTTTCCGGATGCGTAAACCAAGTGCCGTTTGGCTCGCATTCTTTGTGCGCCTTCACTGAAACACGATAAAAAAATGTTCCCACCATTAACAATAGTCACATTTATTGTTTCAAATATAACGTATTACGGTTATATATAAATATTTCCATACGATTGCTTATCTAGTAAGTGTTGAGTATTGTAAAAAATAATTGAGCAAAAAATTTGGGAAAACTTATTTGAACCATAACGGATTATCGGTACGCCATCGGCACATCGTTAATAATATCAAAGAACGCCCCAAATCAGAAAAAAATCCCACCCAAATAGAGCCCTCCTTGCCCTCCAAAGGGATTTTCTGACCACTCAAACAAACAACTTTGCCCTTCAATCATCACAATCCTTGTATTTAGGTTACAATAATATCTCACGCGCTAAATACCCACGCCCCAAATCCTGTACAGTTGCTCGGTAAAAGTGAACACAGACAGCAGTGATAATTTTTCCCTGGAATCTCGTCTCCGGTCGTATGGCTGGTTGGCTGGCGCCACGCCTCTGGTGTATTTATAGTTCTCGTAGCTGCACTCGAGGCCAAAAGCAACCCCATGCGAGAACCCCAGAGGGTGCCTGCTGGGATATAAAAGCACGAAAATAACGATAAAGCCAAGGGATATATGTATACCGGCCTTTTATTTGGACGCGCAAGGGCGACGCGCGAGGACAGAAAAAAAAAAATATACCCTCTTTCACGAAGATGGATCACCTTCTCCTGCGTGCAACTAATATGAATTGGTGGCTTTTTTTCTTTGTTTCGTTTTTTTATGAAAAACAAAAGTTTTGAGATATACCACGAGCTCTATTTAAAAGTAATAAATGATATATATA